TCACACTTTAGCTAATATCAGCTGCCAGATGGATTTGGCAATTGTACAGCAGGTAATATACAAAAGGAAACGTTTCATTATAATTGCTCCATGTCAATTTTAAACTCAGAAACAAGATAAATTAATGATCATTTGCATATCTGTATCACTTTTCTAAAATGAAATCTGGCATCCAGTACACCTACAATTCAACAAATATACATTGATGGCATTTTAATAACAAAAAAATTGAAACGATGAGAGTTTTACGTCCTACTCTTCTCCACCCACTGGTCTAATTGCCAAGAAGTGTGCAATGAGCAACATTTTTAACTGCCCATGGATCTTTAAGGTGTAAGCACACAGGGACTCGATTTATTGTCCTATTCAAACGACTAGACGTTTTTTCTAAGATTTTCACCATGCTAGAATATCAAAAACAGCCTAAAAGTGAAGTCAGTCTTTTATGATACTTCCATAGTCAGTCTTTAGTGAATTGTAGGGGAACCAAATGTCAAAACAATAACCAAGAGCCAGAAATCCTACATATTTCAGGTCACTCATTACCACAGGATTTATTATTCTGCCTGGAGTTGCCACTCCAATATGATATGATATAGGTCAGTCCCTTTAGCCATCTTATATATATCATATATTTAATATACTCCAGTACTAAAGATGTACCTACCGATCATAACAACACCTGGTCTCTACTTAAACCAAATTTTAATGAATGCCTCGTTGCGTTGATGGCATTTTAAAAACGGAACATCTCTCAATTAAAAGATAAGATTTTATATACACCAGTATATACCACCATTTACTGTTTAGTTTTTATCTAACAATGTTTAAGATGGTTTTGAAAGAAGAAATTCTTTAATTTCAAACATAGGGTTGATAATATAAACATTTTATGATGTATAGTATTTTTGGACTATAGAAAGAGAGTTGAGATATATTTGGTCAGAGTTCAAGGTCGTAGAATTTTTGTATTCACTTTATGGTAAGGCTGTTATAATCGTTGGGTTGAAGTGCTCAATTTAAAAGAAAGACCTTGCAAATAGTCTATTACTGACTCCTTCCTTTGGTATTTTAAAATTGACAAGAGCTCATCTAAAGATGCTAGGTGATATTACACAAAGACCCCATTAAGACAGCTGTTTTCAAATTGTGAGTTAAATATAAGAGTGAAGAACATGTGACCTCACATAAACTTAAAGTTTTCAGAGGCCAGGTATGGAGCAAAATAATAAAAACATTGAAGATATCACCAATAAAGCCAACACACATGTTACCCTATATTGAGCAAACTATCATACCTTAGTTTCAGAAACAGGAATTTTTTTAAGCTTACATAATCATTAATAGTGTTCACAGCTCACCGTTGAAATTTGAGCCTTCATATCCATGTGTATCCATAATTATTCACGTTTGAAAGTTGAAAATTTGACTCGAATTTTAGTGAGACTATACCATATATAGAAAACACATATATAGGAATAGACAGTGAAATTTCTAATTTGAGGTATATTTGGAGGGATTATGCAATTTTCGAGTGTTTTAGTACTTCCCAAATCAATCCCCGAAAATTCTGACTGTTACCTTTAAACCTTATTAATTTAACATTGTTCTGTTAGCATTCGTAATGATCATGTATTGGTACAAGCTTCATTTTTCAAATGATGAAAATTAAATATTAAACTGTTATATTCAATTTTAATTGGCAAACTTTTTGCTGCACCTAGCACAGCTAATAATGTTTATTTGACATTTTCTTTCGAACTTTGTTTCAACAAAAGTCAGCAAGAAAAATGCTATTGTTAAAAAAAGATAAAAACATATTTCTCCATATTGTGGTATTGAGAAACACTGTTTTACATTTCTGATTATTTAAATGTCGGCCATGTTCTTATGGTTGATTAAACTTGATACTTTCTGCCATGATGGTCTGTCTGTTGGCATTGGCTATCCTGTTGTTTGGAAATATGTCACTTTAGTTTTGATAGATGGGACCCTGTGGAAGCAATTTAGATATTGAGCTGTAGAAAATAAAACTTCTGGTCTTCATATTACATTTATTTGCTCTCTCATCATTTTACCGTAATTCCACATGGCAATGTTGCATTCGCCAATTTGATTAATCAAAAACATGGCCTTATTGAAGTTTTCAATATTCAGCAAGGAAAATATTTCATGAATTTCTCCTACTTGTTAAAATCTGGAGAAACATTTCTATGGTGTGGTTTCGTTATTCTTAGAATTCAAGAAAATTTATTCATATATGTACTATGTACCTTAAAAAATTTAATCAAGTTGCTTTTCTAAAGGCAAACATTAAAGGAATACTACCTCTTAGGATGACCAAAAAATTGAAACTTTTAAACATGAGTTTTTATTTGTCAGTGGACTTGCTTGGTATCATAACTATACAACAGAACCCCTCTTTAATCCAATAAAACTAAGAAATAATCCATTAAAAGAAGTAATTTTGAAATATGCTTTTTGAACATTTTTCAATAATTATTTAGTTTAATGGATATATCGTCTTATATAAAGATTCTATTCATTTATTCATGGTACCTTGTTAGTTCAACTGATGAATCTATACACTTATAGACCAAGTTTGAGACTTTAAATTATATGTCCATTCTAAGAGGTAGTATTCCTTTAATGGGATGGTTTTCTTAATATTTTCTTGCAAAGATAATAAACCTAAATTTCAGCTATCTGTATTACTATTTAGAATCAAAATCAGATTGTCGGTCTCCTGTGATTCAACAAAAAATATGCACTGGAATTTGAGGCTATTATTACTAACAGATGTGTTATATACATCCCTTCAGCATTTAAGAACAAAGGCATAATGTATGTGTAATAACTGCTGGAAAGAATATAACATCCTTGAAGTGACATTCTTATGTATCTGTTAACTTGTAGGAGAACACCATGTTGGATTTAAATCTGAAAAGTGACATGGATACCTGAAATACTGGTCTATTTGCTGGTAAAGATAGTACTATAAATAAATATATCTCTTTTTTGAATGAATATATCTTTGGTCAATAAATACTATCAATTTATAATATGGTATAACAGTTGATTCATTATAATCAGCTATAATAAAAGACAATATAAAATCCATCAATGGTATAAAAATCTAGTAGATGTCTAGAATGGTGTGAATCAAACACATGATTAGTTCTCTTTCACAAGGTTTTTGGCAATTTGACTAGACGAACAACTTGATAACATAATTATATAAGATCATATTTATATCTTCATCACTGTCATCTCCAGCCATTAAAATCAATTTTAGCTGTCAAAACATAGTCTGAAAAACTACAATGGAGTCTGTACAACTGATTCTGTGGCACCCAAAAATATTGATCTATAGCGCGATATAAACTAGACGCTTTATTTCATTGGCGTAATATAAACTATGAATTGGGAGAAACTTGAAATGGGAGAAAATAAGCCTTGTAATTTGAAGTAGAATTTTCTTGTCTAGTCGCTTGTGATTAAATTTTGAAATTTTATATTAAATTTGGTAATTTAGACTCTTTTCCACTCACTTTGAAAAGAGAAGCTTAAGCCTCTCAATGGAGCTATAAAAATATAAAAATGTAACTTTACATTTGTGATAAAAAGGTGTAATAAAACCACCATAAGTGAAAAATAAGAGATAAAGAATATTGCATCCTTTTAAGATTAAATATGTTATTAAAGTAAATAAATTGCTAAAAATTAAAATGAAAGTAGAGAATAAAAAGTGTAAATGGAATTTCGCTGAAAATCACATTTTAATCGTGATTGATATCTTCAGGAATCTCACTTTCAATAACATTTAAGCAATACGGCCATTATTGCCTGTTAAGAAATTTTCTAAAATTGAAGAACCAAATAGATGGCATACGTTGTGGGCATTGGTATCTGATGCAGATGTGAATGTCTCATTTTGCGTTTCTTCTGTTAGCTACTACACTTGTCATACACGATCAGACAAGATTCTTCTAGGACTCAAGTTCTGTGAAATTTCGACACAATAACATCAAAAGTTGTCATAAATGATGCTAACCTATCAAAAACACTGCATGGTAAAGTAAATATTCAACATAGTCATGTAGTAGGGAAGTCTTTGTTGAAAAGAGCATTTTATTGGTTGAATTGGCTCAGAAGAGAAGATGCATAACAATCTTGTCAGATCATGGTTGGCAAGTGTGAGTCACCCACAGTAGTGGTAGACATTAAAAAAACAACCAGATTTTCATTTGAATCAGATTGCAGGTATTGGTTAACATATATAAAATCAATCTTCCAAAATAACATCATCTGGTAACTGAATATTTGCATTTTATGCTGCTTTCGAATTATTGTTAAGTGATAAATAGGCCATTCAGTGAACTGCTTACACCCAGCAGAATCCCTAAGTTTGGCCTCAAATATTTCAGTTTCCATGGTGCTTTAAAACCACTTTAAAATTCTCAATTTTAAATTTAGACTACACATGCTAGTTTTTACTTTCAAAAAGTTTAGTTATGATATTTGCTGTCTAAGATAAGAGGCATTTTGTTTACATAATATAAAACACACATGTTTCTGTAGAAAAAAATAATTGAAGGGAGAATAAATGGTTGAGGGTATAAAATAGCCATTTTGATGAAATGATAGGCATCTATGAACCAACCTTTATTCATGATAGATAGTCAGTACAGGTGATAGATCTTACTATCGTAATGTAACAAACGTCGACCAATTTCTATTATTAAAATTTGGACGGGAAGAGAGTGGGGTTTTAATTCCTGACACTAGGCTCCGTGATCTAAGTTTAGAAATCTGATCAGTATGGTTAATCGACACATGGTGAGGATATCACAACTGATAACATCTTTTTTTACCTTCTGTTTAAGAGAGTTCTAAGGTATCTAAATTCAAATTATTACCTAGTGGAGTATGTTTATTATTCGGCTGAGTTTTATGGTTAATTTAATCAGACGGAATTTCTCATTATTTCAGAATCAAGTATGGAAGTCAGGAAAAGAGCGGGAACATCGTTTACAGACGGATTACGAAAGTTGATCATAGTAATTACGTTAGTCTTGGAACTCTTTATTTCTAAAGGTAAGATAACTATTTAACAGCGCCATCTGTTGTAAACCAAGTGAAATAATCTCCCTTTGTTTAGATTACTGACTTAGTTTCTGATGATGGAACAACAGAAAAGTACTAAAACTAATAGCTGTACATCATCACCTTTCAGGTTACCAAAATACTAATCAAAACATTTGACTGTTTTATCATTAAACCTCAAATAAACTTTATGATCTCTTCCTGTCATATTTGGTGTTGCATGACAATGGTTATATAAATAAAACTCTTATTATTCATTATGTATAGTAAAAACAATATACATGTGAAAATCTCCATTATATTTTTGTCCAATGTTACGCAATGTATATGTATCATTGTCATTCCCTTTCTGATTACTAGCCTCAGCCAAATTTACTTTGATCTTGATTACTTCAAAATATCGTCTGAAAATTTAATATTGTAAATGTGAAATTTTAGGACAAGAGGTTACACATTAATTGATCATAATTTTTTTTTTGTCCTGTTGACTGAGTTAGTTAGAAACGTAATATTTTTTTCAAATTTTTGTCTAACTTACTTAAATTATGGATTTCGCGTTTCGTTTTGGGTTCAGACTGTTACCACTTGTTTATTTATTGCCATTATAATATTTTTTGCAAATTTTTAACAAAATTAGTTGCATATATAAACATTGTTTGTAAATTCCATCTTAAGATGTTATTATTTAATATTGAGGTCCAGGACACTAATTGGTTTCCAGTACACCAAAGTGTTGTCAGTAAGATTTGTTTCTAAGCTGTAAAGTTTTTACTGATCGGAATTGACAAATTATGGTTTCTCATTCGCATGTCAAGGTTGATTTGAACTGCTTTAACTCTTAATTAACAGCAACTATAATCATGTTAACTTTTTCGATTATTTTTTTTTTGAAAAAGAACAGTGGAATTAATTGGCTAAAAAAGTGGTCTTGTATCAAATTAAAGACCTTACATTAAATGGATTATCAGGTGATTTTTTCCAATCAAATTCATTATTTGACATCCCATGGGAAAGAGGAGGAAAAAAGCCAGACTCTTCTTTAACAGTTCAATTTTATCCAAATCACACTTAATTGATAGGGAAACGTCAATTGTGAAAATAGAAGCGAGTGTGTTAGATGATTTGGGTTGAACCTAGAGGTTTTGTTTAACTGATATTGGACTGTAAATGATAGGTTTCTCTGAGTTAGGTCAATAAAGCCGATACTTTTCCAATATCAGGCAATGAAATAGAGATATTTCTAACTTTAGAACTTCGTTAAAACCAGTGTGGTTCACTGCTTCTAATGGTATTATCTGTTATTTGGTAAATATCCATGTTGCGTTTGAAACTTATGTAGCAGACGGCTTACAAAAATAGCAGAAGTCACAGAAAACAACCTGCCTTTTCTCTAATGATTTGTTGAAATGTTTTTTATCATTGCTCGTTCTCCTATATCCGTTTGTTGTTCTAATAACCAAACAGTTGATAGTTTTCTTCAGCCATCTTGGGCCATCTGTTTACGTGGAATCAAACCAACTTTTCATCTCCGCAGCTAATCAGCGGAATTTGTCGAAAATTGGTTACCTTAATTAGCCAATTATTTTGAATCTATCTTGAGGAAGGATCTGTTTAAAATAAACATGGCTATCAGTGCTAATACACTGGACCATATCTCACCTGCGCCACACTATTTCTATATCAAATTCCATCAAAATGTTTGCTTCAGGTGGAACCAATACCGCTACAACTTGAACTTGATTTGACTTGTTCATGTTCAAAATGGTCTGGAACCATCAGGTCTGATTTCATCCTTGATTTATTCAAGGTGGTTGAAATCTTAGAGATGTTCCTATTATCATGATTAAGAAAGCGGTATTAAGATGCACTTGATTACTAGATTTATGCACCATGATTCATCTTTTTCTAGCTTAAAGGTCTGACATTGCTTGTTGGCTATATGTAGATGTTCAATTGTCAAATTACCATATTTTATAGCCAATGTCACCACTTTAATTGAGCCAGTGCAATAAATTATGGAGGCATTTGTGATTTGTGGCCTATGTATAAAAACAGTATTTTTTCCTTTCTGATTAAATATCTCTGTTAAGTTATGTTAGAGTTTCCAATTTTTTTTCAATATCACAGCATTTGGAAAAAGTTACCTTGATACAATAAAGTATTGGCTCTTTTCGGCTACCTTTAAAACATTTCAGAATCCAATCCTATTTCAACGACTTTTTCTTGTAAGGAAAGATGACTGGACATGATTGTGTCATTAAATTTTTATTCTTTCAAATTAGGAAATCCTGTGGGGGTCACAAAAAGGAAGATGTGATTTAAGTATTCAAGATTAATACAAATGCGCATCATTAAATATTTAAGTTTTGGTTGATATAAAGGGAGATTGATGCATGTTATTTTATTGCGTCTGCTACAACTTTCTCTGATTGTGTCTTCTGCACCAATTTCAGTTCGGTTGATGACATAAAATATTGACTCAGTCATATTGAATGAACATTTTTCTACATGATATGATTACTTTTACCGGACACATTTTCCGATTTCAATCATTTTCTTCAATATCTTTGAAGTAATATTATTGGAAAGGTTGACATTTTGGCAAACACGGACACCAAATGTAACAGGAAGTGTTTAGGAATGAAACTAATTGAATTATGCGTTAGAATAGTCAGGTCCACTAGTTTAAACCAGAAATTAACCACTACAAGTATTTTATAAAATAATTAGAAAATTGAATCAGAATTAGGAAGGATGAGTCAGATGATTTAATGCCCGTCTGATTATCAGCAGCTGCCTTCTGCAAAAAATAGTCTCAAAATTGTGTTGATTTTTCATCCAATCTCAATATTATGCTCATCTATTATAGTTGACCGTCTGTCTAAATCTCCTTTGTGTTGGAGACTATTTCTCATTTTTCATCAGGAGAAAAAAAAACATAATACTTGAACCTCATCAATAAAATGAACATTTAATTCCACCATTTTCATCATGAAACAACCGATTTAGTACTTGGTACTCTTTGACATAAAAAAGAAATGGTCCCATTTAAAGAGTAGTTGGAAGTGATTTGTGTTTTGGCTAATTGAGACCACATGAGTCATAAAGCGTGTCAGTATCGTTATTATTATCAGCATGTAAGGCGTTGATTTCAACCTGGTAACTTCATCTTTTCTACTTTTATTTTTTAGCTTTTCTCCAAATCTTCTATCAACGATGCATAAAAAAATATAACTTTAATTGGTATTACAGGTTCAAGCTTACAACGGTTTATAGTTGAACCAGAAAATACCAACGCCATTCAGGGTAGTACTATCATACTTAAATGTACTGTATCTGATCGCAGAGGGGATGTCCAATGGACGAAGGATAAATTTGCACTTGGAATTGACCGAAACTTGCAATGGTATCCTCGTTATTCCATGATAGGTAGAGATACGCAGATTGGTTCTGGTCGTAAACTAGGTAAGTTAGTAGATATTGTTATGTTTTATTAGACTGACAATAAATTTAGAATACCGATATATAAAACAGACTATAGATGTAAAACACATCTGGTTCGGTGTACTGCACTTATCCTGTTTTCCTTTTATCTTTTGATATCGGTCAGAATTTTATTAGTATCATGCTGGTAAATATTGTGTCCAGTACTGAATGAAGAGAACATCCTGATACACCTAAAGGGATAATATCATCTAAACTTTTGTTTCCCAGTTGGTAGAGCTCAATTTCAGCTAAAAGTATCACTTTTTGAAATGAAAATTTGACATGTAGCTCATTTGCAGTTAAAGAACACCATACATGCACATGTGAAGACTATGCTGTAAGATTTGAACCGACATATAGAAGCGAGGAGCACATATAACAAAACACAAGACAATATTATGGAATATAACACACTTCTTTAATAAGGTTAGACACATAACGTTTCAACACAATATACACGTGTCGTCATCAAATGTAATGGCAAGAGAATAAAACATAACAAAATATATACCAACAAGAAACAATATAGAGATTAAGAGAGACAATAGATAAAAGGGTGATGTTATGTTATATTCCATAAAATTGTCTTGTGTTTTGTTGTATGAAGACTATGTTGTTATTAAAATAATACACAAACATGGGCAGGATATTAGAAACTGGTCAGAAATTTGAAATAAGATGAACTTCTGCTGACCAGTGTTTTCAGATTGATTTTCCCAAAGAGTGCTTATTAATGATAAAATCTGTATATAATATCAGTTAGTGATAGATTTATCTTAAATAGTTCAGATTAAAATAACACAGTGGTGGCACTTCTTGAGTAGTCTTTTTCATTTCTTAGTACTGGTTAAGGTCTTCTTGGTAAACCATAAAGCTACAAAGATACTATTGTAAACGATAAGCGTTCGATTTTAAGGATGAGATTTATCAGTGGCATGGAGACCTAGTTGATAAAGTTGACTTTATGAGCTTGTATAATGTTTAGTAGATAAGTTCATATCTTATGCCACAGAAATATCTTAATGCTATGTATCTTTAATAATATCCTATAGTTGCATGGTTATGTCATACAATTATCAAGGTTGTTTAAGTGGTTGTTACACTGTAACTGAAATAACCAAAGCAAAAGCTGAGCAGAAAGTTGGGTGGATGAGTTTTCCATCATTGCCATAATTCATAATCTTGAGGATTATCATATAAACTTTTGATGTTTAATTTTCTATTATAGTTTGTTTCAATTCTTTTGTATGTATTTTGATAATTTCCGATAAAAATATGTAAAGAAAAAAATTGAAGAATGAATTGTCACTATTCTTCTGCCAAGGAGTAACTTTTGATGTACCCTGCCTTTGGAGCAGCCAAAATTTTTATACTATGAAAATCTATCTGAAATAAGTTCTAACAGATGTTTTTAAGAATAATTTCTATATACCTGAAGCTTTATGAATTGATAAGATAAGAGTTATCAAACTTATAAACTATATTATCAGTTCAACACACCATCAATTCCTAACATTTGACCGTCTGTTAACATTTAATATCACTATGTTCTGATTTCCCTTCTACTGAAACATTTGTTTTGATGAAAATTATGAAGATAATAACTGACTTATTTTTCCTTTTGGTCATTGGTTGATAAGTGAATTTGTTACCTTTCCTTGGCAATGTGTCAATTTACCCTCTGTCAAGGATGCTGTATATTTGTAGAGTTCACATGTTTTAATCTTGAGTATCTTTGATGATGTTTCTTAAGATGTATATTTTGCATCATAGGCTAATAATTAGAAAAACCAACCTCCCTCTGTTTAAACCATCTGTTTCAGTAATGTATAGGAATGGATGTGAAAAAAAAACAACATGAAATGAGTTCAGTTATATTCAAAGCATAAATTTAGTTCAATTCTAAATATTTTCAAATGGCTCATATTCACAGAATTAAGAATGCTTCAGAGCCCTGCTTCCAAACCTTTTCCAATCTAAAATCCCTTTTCTAAATATAGCCCCCCTTAGTACCTCCTCAATTCAACCAAAAGGCATGAATGGTTCACACAGAAAACAAAGATGGCCGAATCCATCACTAATATTACAAAACACTAAAATTCAAATTTTCCAAGAGAGTTGGTTGTGCTGATTGATACCGTTAGTGGGTATGATTTAAAGGAATCAGGCCTTTAGAGTATCCCAGCAACTAACAATTAAATAAATCAAAAGAACGAAAAAAAAACTTATGGGTGATCCTTGACTTGGTAACATTTAGAACAGGAAAAAAAATGGCCAGGAAAGTGATACCACAAGCTGTGGAAAGAATTAGACTATTTTTATCTATTGCTGACATATCAGAAAAATAAAATGATGTCATTTGACAAGTTAATCTATTTAATACACAGCATTTACAATCCATATATAATGGCGTCATTTTGGATTAGTTCAATCAAAAACAGACTATATACCAAATGAACCTTGTTCAAATTACCTTCATTTTTGTAATTGGTATATATTGTAAGATGTCGTACACAGGGGGGTGTTCGGCAATTTGACAATTTCATGATCCCTACAATTAATTTTTGTTGTAAATTTATTTGAAAACTGAGACTGAGTGCATGGTGTTACATGACTTGTTTGGTGGGGGGGGAGGGGAGGTTCACATGTAAAATGATAGGAAACATAAGAGTTGGGGGATTGGGGCCATCTTTTGTTTTGAAAGTACATACTCCCATTCTCCTCTTTAAAAACAAGATTTATATGGATTAAGGAAGGGTTTTCAATCCTGAGTTGTATGTGTATGGAGGGTCATTTCAAATTCTTGTCAGAGGTCTGTTGTTTCTGTAATTGAAAAAAAACTTTACCAAATTATGACTCAATACTAACTACAAAAAATACCTTGTCCCAATTTATAAAATGCTTTTTTTTAGACTTTGTTATTGTGGTAATCATAAACAACAAAGAAATGATTACTATAATTAGAATTCATATTCACATGTCAAACCTAATTTTCTGGCATGAGTTGGTTTAATCAAAGACATTCCATTAGCAGCACAAATTTTCAGGAACTGCCATCTGTCCACATCAGCCAGCTGAAAATGATGAGATTGATACATAATGTGTCATCAGTGTCGCTACATAAAACTGATTTCTTCATTCATATCATGACTTCCCCTTTAAATTTACATTTTCACTGACAAAATGTGAAAAGTGTTGACATTCTACAGTTATGCCACATTTTGTAAAATGTCACATCTGAAGACAAATTAATATGCAATTTCACACCCCATTTCTTAGACGTCACATCATGTTTTTACTACAATTGACTGTACTAATGTTCATTTGATTAGAGAGTAGGAAGAAGGAGGTAGAAATGGTGTAACTATCAGGTATTCTTATCAGAAGATCTTAACAATGCCACAAACAGCCTCCATGTTTCCCACATCTGTTAAATTATGGTGAATTTCTGGTGATAGTAATGTCAGTTTCATGTTAGGGCAGTTCGTCCTTGCTATACAAACAATCTTCATTGCTATTTTCCAAATTCTGCCTCAGCTACCATTGAAATAGGAGTCATGTTTTTAAAAGAAGTCAACTCAAACATGCATCATGCATGAAATAAACAAACAAAAAGTGATGACAGGCGGCCATATTTATTTGTAAAGATAAATTGAGTGCAGATGAGATATTTAACCTTCTTGTACAGATTTTTTTATATTTTATAATGATTGTCAGTATGTTGTCATATTTTCTTCCCTTGATGAAGATATTCCTGTAATTGATATCATAGGTTATGATTCCTGAAAAAAGTCATAGAAGTAAATAAATGTAATATGAGGTTTTGGATTTTCTTTCATTATGAATAATATTTCTTAACTATAAAGTTCGATTTATAACCAGGTTTCTTGAATGTTATTTTTGGACATGGAAATGGGGGTAGACAAATGTGCAGTTCTGGATCAAATTATTTCCTTTATCTTTGCATTTTAAAATTTTTATTGTTTTTTTTTTTGTCAGCCATTTTCCATCTAAAAGAATATTCAAATATTAGATTTTCAAAAAGAAAGGCACTTCAAAAAGTAAGACCTCTATGATCGAATGTAGTCATCAAGAATCAGGTTTGAATGCCAAGATAAAATTCAAGTCAGACGACCAAAATCAAATTGTTGTTCATTTGATACCAACAACTTCATGTTATTGTGTCAGACTTATTCAAATAGAAAGTTTATAAGGAAAACTAGTCTAGGAATGATGTTTGAAATCTTATATAATTCTCTATATTTTAATTTACAAATTTTGTATTCTGATAATATTATTCTATGGAATTTGAAATCAATTTGAAAGTCAAGACATCACATCATAGAATATCTACTGTGATTTCAAAAAATATCAAATGGACTTATTTTACAACACATTTTGTTGGTTTTGGTGGATTTGGTACTGTAGGATTGTAAATATGGTTTCCATCTTGTGATCTTATATGAAACCTTGAAATGTGCACCAACAAAATTTTATTACAAAATTAAATTTGACAGAGATGACTGATGCTTTTAAAATCACTGGTATATTTTCAAAATTGAATTTCAAAATTGAATTGTCACGTCAAACTTGTAAATATAATTCAATAAGTCAATACACAGATAATCTTTATGTATCTAGGAAAATTATTAGTGACATCACTTATTCAATTGCCATCTCTTTCAATGTTAAATCGTAAATTTCAACCTTCTATAACTTTTATTAGAAATTTTGTATATGTCACATGAAAGCCTGACCTGTATTGACTCATCCAAAATACAATTCATTTTGACCATGTTTATTTTGTAAGAGTCAAAGTGAAAGTAGAACGCTACAAATATCTCATTATCTCCCAAAATCTGAAAGAAAATGCAATTTTAGACATCAAAGTTTAAATCTAAAACAAAAATTAATCAAAAATGGGCTTGCAAAGGAAGTGTGAAAGAGGATTACAATTGTATACAATAAGTATTAAAGAAATTTATGTGGTCTGAGTTCTATGCTAGACGTGATATTTCTACTATTATTGCCAGTCTATAAGTATGTGAAGAAAATGATAGCGATTAGTTTCGGGTAACAACAAAATAAAAAGTGGAAACATATCATTTAATTAGAATATGTCCCAATGCCAGACTTGAAAACCTGAACACTTGATAGAGAAAGGATTGGAACGAGAATCAGTGATAAAAAAAAAAATGATTGCCTGAAGTACTGTTATTATTGATTTATTTTTAGCCACAGTGTCGGGACTATTATAGCTTATTAACGTAAAAATCATTATCTCTCCTCCCTTTGTTCTCCCTACCCTTTAATTTACTGGTCATCTCATCAATTTACCGGTCAACTCTTGATAGATTCTGGTCTAGTCCCAGCACCCGCTAGAGATTTTACTGTGGCTTATTGTTAGTGTTTAATGAAGATGTTGAAGCCATTAAAAAAAGAGTAGACTGTTGAAAAATTGTTAATGAGGAGGGTCTAGGAAGGGATTAGCTTAAATCTCAAAACAAGTGTCGAAGGGCATGACAAAAAAAATTACTTTGCATTAGGATTGTCATGAAATTGGTAATATCTGCACTTGAGAATTGCATATTTTTTCTGAAAGTTAAAATAGTCCTAGCCCCTTGTATTTTGTATGAAATCGTACAAGAACTATATGTTAAATTCAATTCTGAAAAGTGTTGTTGCTTCATTTAGCTGAATTTGAGCCTCTCGGCCATTAGACAAATAATTAGAGTACAATATTCTTAAATTAACATGTTATCAAAATTCAGTCATTTTTAGATAGGTATTAGTAACAATTCTTTACCAGTGTTTGTAGTCTGCTTTCGTCAGACAGAATTGTAAATTTGGAACAAACTACTTAATAGTCTGCCCAACTTCGATGCATTGTACAATGTAATGAAACTTCAGTATGAAATTTGAGCCTGTGAATTCATGACCTTCCTCAAAGAATTTTAATGGCTTCTTTGACATTAGATATTAGAAAATGAGGACAATGAAATATGCAAGATTGAACAGGATAATCTTGCGTCTGAACAGGAAGAGCATAAATAAGGATCAAGACGGATAAAGATATCATTTCTGGTAACTTTATGAAAATTTCTGATTAACTTGTGATATCTCTTAAAGACTGTTAATGGACTCAGATCCATCTTTATTTTAATAAAGATTGTCATATTGTGACATTTGTGAAAATGAAATGAGCCAACTGTCAGATTGGAGATTATAGCCTCTAAACCAGACTGATTTCTCTTTATTGTGGCCAAAGGGTTAAACAAATGTGATCTAGTAGATCTCTTTAAAAGATATTTATTTGATGGAAGTGAACTTTCTTTTCTGATAATTCCCATTCTAATTGCATGTGGCTATAAGCTGTGTAATTCAAATGTTTAGGCATTTGCATTGTAAAGAGTTGTTTAATCCTTTATGGATGTTGGTTGATTTGCCAGAAATCTTATCTCCATATCCATATTTGATGCAACAGTAAGTGTGTAAAGATGGCAGAGGGACTCTTCTCTTGTTCTTGAATGTATAAACAAGAATAAAATGTAGCCTAAATGACATGACCTTGCACAGAAATTGGGGAGAACAACGAAAAGCAAACAAAATATATATTTTAAGACAAATTATGGAAAGTACATCTCATGCTGCTGGCTTATGATTGGAAATTTAATCTTCAAACCATCAGAAGTGCTGTTTTGAAATTAGGGTGAATTGTCTAATTTTAGAACTTAATTCTGTATAAATAAATACTGAATAAAATACAACATCATATACTCATCTCTTAGTAGGTCTATATGACATTAATTTTATTTCACCTGTAACATTCGCATCAATGGCTACTAGGATAAATGCAATGTGTCTGCTGTGTCCTTAACAGAGAGAAGCAGAATGAACCTCTTCAAGATTCTTCCTCCCAGTATATGGAAATTTCTTGTTTGCATTAATGGTTGACTTATGAGTCTAATAAGAAGGTCTCAGACTCCAAAAGCTGTCTTTAGATTGAAAGACAAGGAGCAAGATTATGACTTTTTCATTTTTGGTCCTGTAAAGTTTATTCAAGTGAAAATAAGTAATGATGACATTTGTTTTCATTATTTCACTTCATTTCCTATGTAGATTAGATTATCAAATATAAAAGATTAGTGAGAATAAACCAATTTTCCTGGTCATCCAGTCCATTGGTTTCTTGATTAATCATTGTTAGTGTTCATGGCCTAGTACCCACTACTCTACTCCACTTCTGACAATAGCATTGAAGAAAAATGACATTTAATTTACTATCAGACTAAATACGTAAGACATTTTGTCTCAGAAAACCATGAAATGGCAACTAATGTAATTAGTTAAGTTGTAAGCGTTATTGATTGTTTCAGGTTGGTGCTGTTGTGTTTTGGCAGCATTCTGGAAATTTCAAGCAACACACTTAACCAGTGTTTTTTGGTCCAAAGACCTGAAATATTGTAATGTCTTTAGTGATTACTCCAACAATTTTGCTTCAAGTATCAGCTTATTGCCATATTGCATTCATGAAATCATTTGAGAAGCTGATTAGCTAGCTTTGCAGCATCTTCACAGTGTCAACAAATTTCTTACTTATACCTTAACTGCAATGGCCACTATTCTTGTATCATGGAATGCAGTGATTTGATAGGATTGTACGCCAGCATATACAGCCAATCAGAGCCATCCACAGAAAGACTGTAAACTTTATAGCTTTCTGTTCCCAGACTTTCTGTCAAGGGCTCTGATAAGCTGTTTTTGCTAGCATACAATCCAATCAAATCCCAGTATTTACAAACTTTTGTGATACAGGAAAGCGGACTATTGCAGTCAAGGTATAAGTAAAAAATTTCATAATAGCTTGCCATTGTGGAGATGGCTTAGCAGTAATGATACTGAAATTGTTTTTAACTTTTTAAAATTGAATTGAAAAAAGGTTTAAATAATGGCCACTGGCCAGATTAGAACTGATATGGCATAGTATACAACTAATAAGTGTACATTTTCATTTTTCCGTTTTGTAGAAAAAATAGATTTTGTACATGTGAGAAAATATTAATTCAAGACTTTTTTCAGTACTGATTACTGACAGTTATTTGTCATTTATCTATTAACCCTTCATTTCCAGCTGACAGACTTTAGATTAATGATTTTGAACAAATAAATATGATCTTCCATCATTTATCCATCATGATATTTCTATCTTCTGTCTCTCCTAGGGGAATATAACCTACAGATAGTAGATGTAGAGTTATCAGATGATGCTATTTATCAATGTCAAGTTGGTGCAACAGAGAATGTCAGTGGTATTCGCAGTAAGACAGCAAAATTAAATATATTATGTAAGTAATTACTATTTTCTTAACCCTTTATCACCAGTGTCAATGAATTAATTTGTTGTTGTCCCTTTGTGATCTCTGATAAAAATGTATCTTCTATAGAAAGTGTCCAAAAAGCTCTAAAGGTACTTTCATGATACATGTATAGCTTTGAAAGTACTCTCATGATACGTAAAGCCTTAAAAGTACTTTCATGATACATATAAAGCCATAAAAGTGGTTTCATTATATATGTATAGCTTTAAAAGTACTTGCATGATACATGTATATATCCTTAAAAGTATTTTCATGATACATGTATAGCTTTAAAAGTATTTCCATAATACATGTATAGCTTTAAAAGTACTTTCATGATACATGTATAGCTTTAAAAGTACTTGCATAAGTTGCATGATACATGTATATATCCTTAAAAGTATTTTCATAATGCATGTATAGCTTTAAAAGTACTTTCATTATACATATATAGCTCTAAAAGTACTTGCATGATACATGTTAATATCCTTAAAAGTATTTTCATAATACATGTATAGCTTTAAAAGTACTTTCATGATACATGTATAGCTTTAAAAGTACTTTCATGATACATGTATAGCTTTAAGAGTACTTGCATAATACATGTATAGCTTTAAAAGTACTTGCATGATACATGTATAGCTTTAAAAGTACTTTCATGATACATGTATAGCTTTAAGAGTACTTGCATAATACATGTATAGCTTTAAAAGTACTTTCATGATACATGTATAGCTTTAAAAGTACTTTCATGATACATGTATAGCTTTAAGAGTACTTGCATAATACATGTATGATAATCTGGAAATGCCAATGCTAAAAAGTTTGCCCAAAGATCAGCTGGTAGAAAAGATTCCTGAGCACCTTGTTTATGCTTTAAAAATTTTGTTGTCTTTTTCTTTCTTAAACACAATAAAACAGCTGAAAATCTAATATATTCCAAGTTTTTTTTACTCCTAAATAACTATACATGTATATGCTAAAAACTTAAACAATATGAATTCAGACTTTTTGAGCTATGTAAGTCAAAAAATTGTCAAATAAGCCTAGTGTTAGTCAGTACCTAAATGACAAAAGTTCAATGTACCTGGTGCTTCCAATCAACATCTCACACCCAATAATTCAATGTCTTTGATGGAGTTCTTGAATAGAGAAGGAAGAACCTGTCAGCATTCATAGAACTTCAGGAATCCTAAAATAAATTCTTACTTTGATAAATGCACTCAATATTTAAAGATTCAATGTCTTTCATCTATATTTTGCATATGGTAGCCAATTACATCACACTGTACTCTATATCTATTACATTTGTAGGAGGATGCACATTTTTCCCGCCTTTTTTCTCTCTTTTTGATGCAGAAGTTAAATTCATTTAATGGAGGATGATTTATACGTCTGCTACACCTGTGAAGATTTTGTTACATTATGAAAGTGTAAAGGAGATAATTATAAAATTATGTCTGATTTGAAGGTAGATGAATATCAAATATCTAAAAAAGATTTGAAATTTGTAAGAGTTTCTTCTGGTTGTTGGCCTATTCTATTCAAAATGTCTTCTCTTGCTAAAAAGCAAAGCAAAATAAAAGGCTATCATCTTGTTCGGCTTTACCATATTAAAAATTAAAATCACATGATTGCATTAAACTTAAAATTCAGTTTATGTGTTCAGTTTTTAAAGACATACATATGATATATATTCAAATTGGCCTATAAAATTTCATTTTTAGTTTTAGCTTTCTTAAGTATAGCTTTTGTGACAAGAAAGTGAGCAAGTTTAGAGTGTTAACGTGGGATAAATGTCAGAAATGAAATTTAAAAGCCTTATTATGTTCTGTATTCAATGTTTAAGATCTCTATCCTTAACACGGGAAGTTTGAAAGACCAGACAAATTATTGTTAATAAAAATTTTCGTTCTTCATGGAGATCATTTTAATAGCTTATAATATATTATATTATAGCACATATTATTTCATTTTAAAGGAACTTTCATCCATAATACAAATAAAGTTACAGGTTTTCTTTAATATATTACATTTAAAATCAAACTTTTCAATTTCAAAAACACAAGTTTGTAAACATTGATCAGAAAGAAATATTAGAGATTAGAATTAGTCTCAGAAGTGTATTCTGTTTGACCTAACCTCAGATTATTGGTTAAGAAAATTGATAGTCTTTTGGGATTTTCAGGATGTTGTTTATCTGATAACCTAGAAACCTTATCACTTCTGGGTCCACGTTATTTACACAAATTATTGGTCGATTCCTCATTTCTTTTTGTCTTTTATACTAGTTCCTGGAATTTTTAGCTACATTTAATCTTTATGGACAGTACTATAAGACACTTCTTCACTAACCTGAAGGTCTAGGTTTCAATCACTGAATTGGTCAAGAAAATGCCTTCTGATGTTTTATTTCAATTTTATCCTGCCAGTAATGCAAGAGGGTCTGACTTTTTTGTATTTAGAAAAAGAGTGAAGCTGATGGGACAATTAATTGAGGTCCAGCATGTTACAGGCTATCTATGTGAAAAATGAGTAGGATGATGCTGCTGTCCTAGAAAAATTTCCCTCATTGAAAACTGCATGGTGTTGCCTTTCCTCATCAACTCATACAGGTGCAAAATAGTAGGACATAAAACCATTTGATGTATTTTCTCAATTCTTATGTCTGCCATTGTTAGGTGGTAGGGCCTATGCTGGAAGTAACCCAAAGTTCAAAAGCCTTCTGCTATCAAAACATATTTTGGAGAACAGACGTCTATCCATGCTGTACCATTTCAAAACACTTACCCCTGATTATTCTTAACGGATTAAAACAGTGTGGCATCTTGACATGGAACAAGTTACCTGAACAGGTAAAAACATGTAAATCTGTTGATTCTTTTAAGAAAAAGTTACAAAAAACAATCTTTTCAAAAGGACCTTTATCTAAGAACTGTGTGTGTAAAATATATACAATGTAGGCCTATATGTGTAATACCATTCTATTGACTAATAAAGATATATCTGTGTTTGTAAAGCGCCATAGAATGCTCACCTTAGAGCAGTATTGAGTACTTATTTCAATAATCTTAATCATAATCTTTACCATTGAAGAAATTATTTCTGTAGAGAAGTTAAGAAAATAAACTAGTAAATTAGTACCATGGTGTAAAGATACTATCAGTAATATTAGTAAATTACTCATATGATATGATAATATTATATACTTTTCACTGGACCTCCACATAAAAAATACCAAATTAGATCATTTACACTTACCCTCAATATATCATATCCTTCTCTATAGTCAACCAAATAGTAACATTGTATGAGAGACATTTCTTTTAACTTGAAGCAATGCCAGAATTAGTAAATGACTTTTTGGCTTCCACGATGTAAGATATTTAAAATTCATATTAAACATATTAAAGATGAGATGCATAAAAATTTGAGGCAATTATTCTGTAAAAACAATGTTGACTGAAATGTACCTAATTTAAATTTCAAATTGAATCAAATGTTTCTCCTGCTCACTTGGCTTTGTAATTCTTTTCTTTTCGGATTGTGACTAGTTAAGAGATTAGGGTGGCTTGAAGGTAACAAGTAACTATCCAACAGAAGGCACTGGCACAGGGTTAAAGCATGCAATGTTCACAAATGTTAAGGTTATTATGTTAAAATGGAAATTCGTACTCTTAGTTCTAAGATCTAAAAACAATAAGATTATCAAAATATATTTTTTAAAAAAAACTGATACTTTAATTCTTGCACGGAAATTATAAATCGATGATTATTAAAATAACAAAATTTTAAAATTTACCAAATACCTATTTAAAGAAAACCAAATACTAGATGGACTTAATGACAAGTTAAGAATAATCCTTAGGCAACAGACACAATTTTATGGTATACAACTCCAGAGTTTTGTTGTATGCAGCTTTTCAATAATTTACATGGAACATGAGATAAAATGATGATGACAATGTAATAAGTATGTTAAAAAGTTATATTTATAAAACTGTAGAAAAGTAGTTTGGTAATGTTTATATTGGTGTTCTTCTTGTGAAGATAAATATAGAGGTTTAAAATGTACTTTGGTACAGTTATATTGATCAAGAAAAGTTATAATATAAAACAATGGTTCTGACTGTAACAGTCTCTGATAGAGATAACAGTTCATTGTGGAATTCTATTTTTACACCCGGATAATTTTCTGTTTTATTTCATTGTTTATTAAAAATAAGAACAAAGGCATGACTAAATGGTATTTGGTATGATTTTTTAATGAAATGATAACACTATCTGTTTCTTCTGCTGTGAATTGGAATTGTTCCCAAGTCTGTCGAAGCTATCAGAGTATCTGTAGAAGGGCTAAATATATAATAAGAACTGGGTTATAATAACCATTTAGGAAAACCAGATAATGTACACATTTCCTGGTGGACATTCACATGTATTTGAGTGCATCTGGAGTAATCCAATTTTTTTAGGCTCAAAGGCTGATGATAAGGTAGCATAGAGCTACTGATGTTCGAGTTTAGCAGAAAAGCAGATATTTGAGATCAGTTTGAGGTAAGCAGCAAAGCTGATGTTCGAGTACAGCAGAAAAGCAATTTTGAGTTCAGTTTCAATTCAGCAGAATAGCTGATGTATTGAGTTGAGATTCAGCTCAGCAGAACAGCTGATTTATGAGTTCAGCAGAGAAGCTGATGTTTGAGTTCAGCAGAGAAGCTGATGTTTGAGTTCAGCAGAACAGCTGATTTATGAGTTTAATAGAACAGCTGATTTATGAGTTTAAGAGAACAGCTGATGTTTGAGTTCGGCTGAGAAGCTGATGTTTGAATTCAGCAGAACAGCTGATGTATGAGTTTAAGAGAGAAGCTGATGTTTGAGTTCAGCAGACAAGCTGATGTTTGAGATCAGCAGAGAAGCTGATGTTTGAGTTCAGCAGAGAAGCTGATGTTTGTGATCAGCAGAGAAGCTCATCATTGAGTTCAGCAGAGAAACTGTCATCTAAAAAAGCTCCTAAGAATCTGATATCCAGATCAACAAATAAAACATTGTTTTAACAACTCCTATTTTAAAATTAATGAATACCTTTTAGTTTAGGTTTTGCTTAAGAGATGTTTTAAAAAACATTTAGCACTTTCTATGGTTCAGGATCCAAAATGTATCTTATAATATAATGATATAAAATTTGGCCATAATAATTCTATAGACCGATTTCAGATAACTATTAGATAATGTGGACTTAACGCCTTATTCAATCAATATACAGTCATTTTCTCTTCATAAAAACTGGATATAATACATCAGTTTTACGGAAAGAAAATATCAAATATCTTTCACAGTCCATTTCACGGCAAAATTAGGAAAGATTTTAATAGTATGTTTTAGTGAAATCAGCAGGAAACCAAAATGCGTTAATTTCCAGGCTGGCTATTTTGATTTCAGTTAGGATTATTATATTTATGTGTTTATAAATAATAAATCTGAAATGGGGAATCGTAAATAAAAAATGAAATATTTGAAGTTTAAGATGTAAAAAGAGTTGTCCAGACATCTTATAAAAATTTTATTTTAAATCAAACACACTTCTATTAATTCCTGGACAGTTTAATTGATCAAAATTCACACTTATATAGCCAAGCAAAGAAATTTGAGCACATCAGGGTCAAATTCAAAGCATGATCAAGTAAGATGATGCAGCTTCTCAACAGGTTGGCTGATGATTTTGCAGTGGATTTTGCAACAAACAAATGATTCTGCTGGTGTGCAATGATTGTCTATGAGATTGTTTTCTTCATCCTATTAGCTTTAAGCTCTTGGGGTTCATGTCTGTAAGGAAGTTTTGACCAGTGGTTCTTAGCTAAGCATGTTGACCATGGTCTAAACAATTTAGGCTCTTTACTGTTTGAAAATGTTAAATTTACTCATCAGTTTGAAATGATATAGATCCCAATACTCTACTTTAGTTCAAACATTGACCAACTCCTACATTTCTAAAGGGAATGAGGCAGCCATGTTGTACGTCTGCTCCGCGAAATTAAGATCAGTAATAGAATAAGACAAGAAATCATTAATAATAAAATAATAACTTTGTATTGAAGTTGACATGAGTAAATTGTCTTGGGGCTACTACCATGAGTCAATGTTTGTCATCTTCCCCTAGTCCAATATGAGTGTCTATTGATCACTGCTTAATGGGATCTTCATCTTCCCGAGTAAAGGAATGAATGAAGGAATTAAGCTAGGATTATATTTAATTCTTCTACCGCTAGTAAATTAATGAGTTTAAAGACTGAGATTAATGAAGTTGATGAACAAGTTCCTTTGAGAACTAAATGGGAGATTAGAGAGCTGAATTATAGTTCAGAAGGTTGCAGATGGTTTTTCAGAAAATGTTTAAATTCCAGTTCACTTTTAAGCATTACAGTGCTAGATATTACCATAAAGAAAAATCAATTTAGTTTTATATTTTTTACATTTTCAGGATAGGTTTAATAATGTCTCACAGATTTTTTTTCAAACCCAGATTCAACTGTCAGTCAGGCAGATCTGAAAACTGACGTGGAAGAATCAACCAGCAACTTTAGATGATGAGACAATAGAGGCCTCTTGTGTTACAGGTTGTCCATGTTCGATGATTGTCTTCATTTGCCCATAATCATGGACAAAAAATAGGTCATAGAATTCGAGAATGACAAAATAATGGAGGATCATTTTAATATTCAAGCAATATTTTAAATTTGACTATTTTTGAATTTCAGTACCACCAGATGCACCAATGATAGATGGTGGACCAATGTTAGAATTAGTAAAAGGACGACCAACTAATGTATCATGCCGTGCATTAAATGGTAAACCTGCGTCTGATGTTAGTTGGTATATTAACGATGAACGTGTCCGAGAAACTTACACCAGAAAAATTACAAAAGAAGATGGTAAAAGAGTGGACACCATTGGTATTGTTACTCTCAATGTCACCAAATCAGATGCTGGCAAAAAAATTAAATGTTATGTTCAAAATGAGGCTATGACAGACCCCTATTTTGTGTCTGCTACCATAGATGTTCAATGTAAGTATATAAATTTTCAATTTTTCAATAAAATAGAATTAGATGTATTACCCAAAATTGAATAATAAACACACCGATTTTTTTTACCGATTTTTTGATGGGGTCGATTTTCGGAATGTGCAGTCAGTACACGATCTTACTTATTATGTATTGCGGCTGGGGCGCTTGAGTACCTTCTTGTTGATCTACCATAAACAATTTGTCATCCAGTTTGAAAATGAGGTGACAGATAGGAAGAAAACTTTTACTTTTTTGTGCTTCTTTTCTCTTGATGATTCACTTACTTTCTTCTGGAATGGGAGATGAAGAAAAGTGAGATCGTGAAATCGTTGGTCAACCTTTAACTAGGTCACGACAACTTAACGGGAACACCCATAAAATGCACACTTGCCTACAGGCACGTCAAGACATCTTTCAATTAAAAATGGCAGGTATTTCTCAATCACTCCCGATTTTGTTGTAGGGCTGTCATGGACAAATGCACACTAGCCAAATTTTCCACTCCAATATTAGTAGTGTAAAAAAATCAGTAAGTTTTGCGCCAGCTTTGAGGGGCAAATTTATTATGAAAATTAAAAAATCAATAATGTTAAAAAAAGCCGGCAGAGGTTTTATAACTCAAGGACATCAAGTAACAGATTACAAATTGCTTTTATAATAAATTCATATGAAGCAACATAAATTACAAAGCCCCCATATAGTTCAATACTTCAACATTTCATATCAATAGTTTTTACGACCATGATAAATTGGTGTATTGAAAAAAAATATGTCAGCCATTTGTTCAGTTTGTCAAACATGTGATTTAATGACTCTTTATGGAAATTTGAAAGATATTTTAATAGACCATACAGGGAGTTTTAACAATAACATTGTCATTATATATTCATAATGACAACCCGGACACATGTTTTTATTCATAAAAAAAGTCATAGAAAATGTTTTAATTTCATTAGGTCATTTGTTAATTAATTATATCTATTAATATAATCATTAATTATCCTGCATCTTAATCAACACCTCTTTAATTAACATATCACTTCTGACCCCAACACCCTCTCTCCCAGGGGAGAGTATTAATTCACGCCTTGCCGGGGTCATAAAAGACATTTGTAAACTTTTTCTAACCGAATGATGTCTGGGTTCCACTCAGTTCCTGCGAGATTTGTGGTTTAACACGGATGAATACATTATTCTTCTTGTCAGTTGCGAGTCATTAATTTATTTGATGAGGTTTTTAATTAAATTCAATGTAATCAAGTTTTTTAACGAATGGAATATGACAAGTTCAGAGCCTTTGAAGAGGATTTCAATAGGATAATTATCGCATTACACCAAACACTTGCTTATGTAAATAAGGCCACTGAGGGGAAAAAATTGACACTCAACATTCAAATAAGAGACCAAAATGCATCATTTTCATGAGAAAAGAGTGTGATAATGGAAAGAAAATAAGGGTCTTTGTGGCGTGTATTTGTCCATCAATTCTATAATTGACTCCCCTGGAAATTCAATGTCATGAAAATATGATCTCCAACGTAATTCCAATGTTTGACAACTTCTTTAAAATACCAAATTACTCCAATTTTCTAACGTCTGTGAAATTCCAACACTGAGTTTCTTTTGTGTTGCATCTTAAATGATGTTTGCCAAGTTGGTGTTCAATGTTTTTTTAAAATGCCCACTGCAGGGATGCATTGTAAAACCTCGGCAGATGGATATTATTAAATTGTTGGACTTTATTTAAAATATAATTTCCATCTTGAATACTAAAAGGCATCTGAGTTGACTCAACATGTAACCTTTGATCCAGTAGATCAATATTTGTGTTTCATGCATTAAGTAATTATTCAATTTGACCAATTAGCAATCATTTCATATGGTGTGTAGGATAATGAATTCAATTTGGCAAAATCTTCAAAACCACTTTTGCCCAATTATAAATCTTAAATCTAAGTTTTCTAATTGAGTAATTTTTTTCTATATTTAAGTTGTTCCAGAAGTCCAAATGAGTTTAAATTCATCAGAGCATGTACGAGAACATGATTTTCTTAGATTTAGTTGTAGTGGTTTAGCTAATCCACCAACTATAACATGGAAGTAAGTTGGTCTAAATATCTAGGAATTAGTCCTCTTTGTACTCATGTCAAAGATCAGTTGTTGAAAAAAAGGTATATAATGCTGACTGCAATCCAAGTAACCAGATGTGCATGCTAAGGATTCTTATGATATTTGGAATTCAAAAGAATAAGTAAAAGGCACTGTTTTAACGACATTTGTGTCATTGATTTCTGTTTGGCATTGCCAGTCTTCATTATTCCAATCAGGTGTAGAAAAGTAGAACATAAAACACCGTTTTTCATGTCATTTCTAAACAATTGTATAAACTGTAATGTTGTTTCCAGGTGGTATAAAAATGGTGAACAATTATTAGATGAAAATAGAAATATTTTAGACATTCCAAGAGTGACAAGAGATGACCATGGTGATGTCATTTCCTGTGAAGGTATTAATGATGTAGGATCAACCCGGAGAAACTACCGACTTGATGTTCATTGTAAGTCTTCATTTTAGCCATTTCCATTCTTTTTTCCATTTGCAAATGTTGTCTTGTTTCATACATTTTTAAAGTTTAATCATTGTCACTTCCAGTTTCACACTCAAGAATTTAGTTGATGATTAAAATATCTTTTGGTGAAAAAAAATTAGCAATAATGTAAAGTTGTTTTAGAATTTGAGTGATCTCCCTTAGTTACTTTAGTGCTTAGGTTTTCAACTACAGGGACATGTCCCATGGTGGAGACAATTGCACTTTTCTTTGGGGACAATTGATGTGTCACAGCCAAGTCACATTCTGTGAAAAAGAAAAACTTTCAAACATCTCATATGATGTCTACACTATACACAGCCTAAATTAACATTGTCTAGGAGTATTTAGAGAATTATTACTATCAAACTATGAGAATGTGCTTGATATCCAATCATAAATACGCTCTCGATATTTGGGGACATCATATTCATGCTGATTCAATTTGGGGACACATACAAAGACAGGTTGAATACCACTGCTTTAATAAAACAAAAACAGCAAATCATGAAATTGAATCTTTTTTTTTAGATGGTCCAAGATTTAAAGGAGTGCCACAACATGCTAATGTAGATCTTGGTGATAGTGTATCACTACGCTGTGAAGCAGATGGCAACCCTACGCCTAGTATAATCTGGACTAAAAAAGGATCTAATCATGTGTTAGGTTCAACTCCTATGTTTAAGATTAACTCTGTAACTAAGAATGATATCAGTGTATATATTTGTATGGCAACTGTCAGTGGTTTTAGTGAAGTCAGTAGAGAAATATATCTTTTACAAAATGGTAAGTATTATTATGTTTTATCTTTGTGATCATTCTAATCAAAGGGAGAAAACCATCATATAGACAAGCAGTGAGAACAACTTCATATTGGCCATCCTAACGACCAATTGAAGAGCTTTAATAGTGTTCTCAGCTCACCGACAAAATTTGAGCCTTCAAATCCATGTATGTCCGAAATTATCTGCTTTTGAAAACTAAAATAAGGACTCGTCTTTTCTTGTGGCTTTGACATATATAGAAAAGATTGTATAGAATAGAAAGTTTAAGGTATTTTTAAGGAATTAAACAATTTTCTTGCAGTTCTAGTCTTTCTGAAGATTATTTACATGTATTTAAGATCCAACTGGAGAACCATAGATTGGAAAAATAAGTGTTGATCGGCTACTCTTCAGTTCATTTGAGGTGAATCTTGATGTGTCAACTCCCAAGCATCTGATAGTCAGAAAAGAGAATGAATGTTAAATTGTTAGGTACTCTTTGTAAATTTCAGGTCCACCAAGAATAATGAGCGAAGGTGAACAGTATGCTAGTAAAGGTGATACAGCACTAGTAGAATGTCTAACTTATTCAGCACCATTACCTCAAAATATCTTATGGATCAAGAATGGTAAACCAATAAATTATGCATCATCAGGAAGATTTTCAGCTTCTGAGGAAGATTTGCCATTTGGAAGAAAAAGTACTTTACAGATATTAAATCTACATGAAGAAGATTTTGGTGATTTTAATTGTAGTGTGTCAAATAGTTATGGTCAAGATATAGCAACCATAAAGCTAATAGAAAAAGGTAATATTCCTTTCTACTATTGGATTTATTTACTGGTTAATATGAAATTGAACTTTCAGTATAATGATAATTTCAAAATAGTATTTCGGTTATACTGCACATGTAAAAAGAATGGTTGTTTTATTTATATTTCAGTTGTACCACTTACCCTATATAACAGGAGGGTTGTGTTATTTATGTTTCAGTTGTAACACCATCATATATTAGGTGGTCTTATTGATGGTATAGTGTTATGTAATACCACCATTACCCTATATATTACCATTACCCTATCATAAATGGTATAATGTTATGTTATTTATGTTTCAGTTCTACCACCATTTCCCTATATAGAAGGGGGTATAGTGTTATTGTATTTATATTTCAGTTGTACCATCTTTATATAAGGGTGGTGATAAAGATGGTACAATGTAAACTCATTTTTATTTCAGTAGTACCACCATTACCCTATATAATAGGTGGTCTTAAAGATAGTATAATGTTATGTTATTTATATTTCAGTTGTACCACCATTACCCTATATAATAGGTGGTCTTAAAGATAGTATAATGTTATGATCTTTATATTTCAGTAGTACCACCATTACCCTATGTAATAGGTGGTCTTAAAGATAGTATAATGTTATGTTATATTTCAGTTGTACCACCATTACCCTATATAATAGGTGGTCTTAAAGATAGTATAATGTTATAATATTTATATTTCAGTTGTACCACCATTACCCTATATAATAGGTGGTGTTGTAGGTGGTATAGCAGTATTATTTATAATAGTATTAGTATGTGTGTTATATCATCGGTATAAATCAACAGATTCTAATAGTGTTTTAGGTAGGTATCCTCATCAGACATTACATTAATCTGCATCAACCTCATGGATGTGTTCATTTTGATCACAACTTACTCAAGTATATATGAAATGTGTTTAGTTAGTACACCATGTGTTCATCATACTGATTTACCATGTAGTTCTACTGACACTTAAAGGGATTGTAAATATGTTTTCTTAACTTTTTAGCTTCCATAGGACAAATTATGGCTTCTATATGTCTGTGGTTCCAGTAATATACGTAGTGCTTAAGTGTATAGGACACCATAAAATGCTTAGTTTTAGTGGAACCAGGGATGTCTTACTGGAAATTTGAATGGTGCGAATGGATGCTATCAGTATTCCCTATACACCTAAGAAGTTAAAAGAAAAATACATTTTACAATCCCGTTAAGATTAAGAACAAGGTGTTTGTTGACTATCATAAGATTTCAGCATTGTTTTCATGTCATCTTCATCTTTCTGGAAGCATCAGAATGTCTGTAATGTTTAAGAGTCTGATATTATCATGTATCTGGTAAAACCTAAAAAAGATTTGGAATATGCCAGAATCTTAATTAACAAATATCATAGTCACAACTAAACTTAATTCATTTCATTCAAATTAATGATTCAACTCAAATTTGATCTAAAATTTTTAAAAAGTGGACGTTTTTCGAAAGTTTGGTTACAAATTTTGAATGATGCATGAATAGATGATTAAATGTAGAAAATTATTAAATAATTCAGATGAAGATATTCCAAATTTTGACTATTTTAGGTTCATATACAGATACTGATAGTAGTACAGAAAATAAAAAACGTGAAAAATCTGATTCACCATCTACGCTAATGGATCAATGGCGTCAAGATTATAATAAAGATTTTTATCGTTATTCTGCAGATTACGAGGATGTTAATTATGGAAAGGTAAGTTGTCATTTATATTTTATTGATAATATCTATTAAAAAAACATAAATCTTAGTTAAGAAATGCTGGTTTTTGAACATGTGGCTCAAATTTCCAGGCAGATTTTTAGTTAAGTAAACACCTGGAAAGTGTAAATAAGAAAATAAGGACGGTTTTCCCCTGTCAGTGATGCAGGTAAGAGGGGCTGACATGGAAAGAGCGTCTAGTCTTTCAGGTGGGACAATAAACTGAGGTCCTCTGTGCTACAGACTGTGCACGTTAAAGATCCCTCGACAGTTGGAAATTCGAAAAAGCAGGCTAATGCTGCTGTCCTTGCAAAATTTTCCTCATAGCACTCTGCATGGCGTTGCCTGTCTTGATTACTCCACATGGTGCCGAAAAGTAGGACATAAAACTCATTTCATTGTTATGCATTTGCAATACAATAACTGAAAATTAAAAATTTCCTATGGATTTTGATGGGTATTCTTGCTGTCATATACTAGTTTTGTGAGCCAATCCAGTGGTTTAGTAATGGAAATGAAATATGCAGTCATTAAATTATTATGAAAATAGAAAATGCATGCATGAATGTCTGTCTACATGATATCTAAGAGTTTTTAAACACAATGTTTTTTTATATTACAGGAAACCAAGCCTCCTAATAATAATTCCTATGGCTTTATAGAACCATATCAATTAAATATATATAATCAGAGACAGCCTGGTGAAGATGAATATTTAAGTGGTAATGAAGTTTTAGAAACACCAGATAGGTAAGAATTATGTTTTCTAATTTTCTAACACATTTGGAAAAAAACTTCTACAGATCAGTCTTGCTTCAAACTGAATATATTTTATCTTGCATTTTTTAGCTTTTGAGCTTTGGCAAACACTTTTTTTTTAAGTTGTGATACAGGTAGAATTTCAGAGCAGATATTAAATCTTTTGAGATCATTATATATATGTAACTGTCCTTTACTAATTTAATTGCTGGCAAATATGAAGTCACATTTTCATTTTGAGTTGTGATACAGGTAGCAGGGTAGAATTTCAAGGCCTTCTAGTAAATTCTTATGATCAAAATTAATCACAAGTCTGATAGGTTACATGAAAAACTACATATTGTATTATTTTTCCCCTTCAATCTGAGTTTTTTTTCTTTTTAGATACGATACATTACATGGTTATAGTAGTTTTAGAAGTACACCGGTACCAGACCCTAATTCAAGACTTCCACCTGCTAATATCAATGCTACTAAACTAGCTACCAATGTTTAAAGATATTTTATCAACAGGGTCATCTTCAAACTTCCATTTGAGTGAAAGTAACATCATTTAGTGAGACTAAACCAAGTTTGTGTTGTGTTCCATCAATATCGACAAACTGAGAAAACTGCTGTAAAAACATAAATCATTGAAGTGTTGCACAGCCGTACTTATAAGACACAAAATTTGAATATGCGTCTGCTAGGGGAAAATTTAACAACAGTTGCCATATGCAATCTTAGTTCTTACTCCAAAGAATAAAGGATCACAAAATATATGCAAATGGAATATATTGGAAAAGTGTTTTCTTACAATGTTGTATTTAACGAAAGCTAAAAATACAGTGGAAAAATATTGTGAAATTGTGAGCTTAACGTTTATTGTTGGAAGAGTGGTCAAGAGAAAGCTGACAACAGATGCATTTAGATAATAGTGAGCTCTAAAAATGTGCTTTAAAAATTACTTGTAGCATTACTTGGCATAATAACTCAACTCATTTTGTGATTTGCGTGATTGAAGTTTTATCCACCTAAATTCTAGTCATAAAAATACTCAACAAGGACCAAGACAATGCAACAGATAAATTTTTGTGCCAAATATGCATTATAGCAAACTCAATTTATAAAGATGGTAGAAAAAGAGATTGTTGTTGAAAATGCATTGTGAAAAATTCAAGTAAATACTCCATTATGAAACACAGAGAATCTTCAAAATTGGAGGTAGAAAAAATGTCATGTCTTAAGTTGCTTCATGAAATCACAGACTCCGAATGCATTATATGTGTCGCAGTTTAAAGAATTTCATAATGTTCTAGTGTCACAATTTTCCAGCCTTTTTGTGCCAAAACTCTTGCTCATTTTATAAGCAGAAACTGTCCAAGGAAACAGAATTGTCAAAGAAATGGTATTTTCACCTCTTTGTGTGTATAAAGTGAAACTATTTATTTAAAGACATTGTGAAAATGGTGATACATGTACCAAAAAAACATTTTAAAAACATTGAATAGTGCTTGTGTTTCAAATCATTTTAATATAAACATAGACAATAATTTTTATACTGAAGTCATATTTATATCTCATTGCTTTTAGCTCACCGTGTATATAAAGGATCACAAGAAGTATCAGCATGCTGTTTTATGGAGATGGAAACTACTAAACCCTTATTTCTAAGATCTTATCCAACTCAAGTTTTTGGCATAATTATCCCTACTGGTAGCCTCTAAGTGTATTTACATGTACTTTTCTGTCAAGCTCTTGACTTGGTTCAAAATGTCAAATATACTTTGTGTTAAAATGTTAACAGCTATCTGCAAAGGTGTTAAGTTGTCTGATTGTGTACAGTTTAGTAGTCTCCATACCTGTTCATCAATGTGTATAAAAACTTTGTGTGTGTATGACTGTGTGATTATTATCATCACACTAATTCCAATGCAATAATCATAGAGTGTTTGAATTGTACATAAAATTAAATAATATATTCTTCCATAGTTGATTACAATGATTATACAATGTTCTTAATTCTTCAATAATACAGTTCTTGTTTAGGACCAACTTGGTTTGCTGTCATGTTCTTCTGAGCTCAAATTTTACATGTAGCTCCTTGTCTTATTTTTAGCTCAAACTTCAGTTTTAAAAACTTTTACTTTTCCTAAGTTAACTAGGTTTATGTGAAGCTCAAAAGAAGCATGCGTAGAAATGTAGCCTATGTATATGCACTAAATCATGCAACTCAAAATATATGCAAATCAGTTGAAATCTAAAGAATTTCAAGAATGAACTTGAAATAATGTTAACATCTCATAAAATAAGGCAATTTGTAAATTTTTTGTGTGGAAGTCTTACAAACCAACTGTTAGAATTAATTCTCTTTAAGAACATTAGATTATTATTGTGAGGTGTAAGAAATTTAAAATTTAAAACTAATAGAATAATGTACATAGATCTTGTTCTATTTTTTCATATAATTTATATTATGATAATGGGTTATTATAATTTTAGCTTGAAAGTTGTACATGTAAGAAATGCTTGAGAAATCCGCCCACTAATTTTGATAGTTTGCAAGTGTTGCGTGAACTTTTCTAGTCAAATATTGTGCTGCAATGCAAAAATTATCGACTTTTAGTTGATATTTAAGAATGATTTAGCAAATATGATGTGAGACCTTTTTATCATGGATTCTAGTTGCCATATGAAATCTCTAACACTCTAATTTTAGATTCTGCCCTAGAAAATCAGTAACCCTTTAATCTTGGATTCTGCCATAAGAAATTTGTAGCCTTTTTATCTTGGATTCTGCCATAAGAAATTTGTAGCCCTTTAATCCTGGATTCAGCCATAAGAAATTTGTAGCCCTCTAATCTTGTATTCTGCCATAAGAAATTTGTAGCCTTTTAATCTTGGATTCTGCCATAAGAAATTTGTAGCCCTTTAACCTTGGATTCAGCCATAAGAAATTTGTAGCCCTTTAATCTTGTATTCTGCCATAAGAAATTTGTAGCCCTTTAATCTTGGATTCTGCCATAAGAAATATTTAGCCCTTTAGTCTTGTATTCTGCCATAAGAAATTTGTAGCCCTTTAATCTTGGATTCTGCCATAAAATATTTGTAGCCCTTTAATCTTGGATTCTGCCATAAGAAATTTGTAGCCCTCTAATCTTGGATTCAGCCATTCAAATTTGAAGCCCCTTCATCCTGTATTCTGCCATAAAAAAGTCTTTAAGCTAGTTCACTTTATTGTAATCAAGTTGATCTGAAATATTAGGTCTATATACATGGATTATGTACTGCATATAAACAATGAAGTCTTAGAAATTAAATATACTATTAGAAATTAAGAATGAACAAATTTCAAGAGTGCTGGAAACTCAAAAAAAAAAAAAATATTCTAGTCAAATATGAATCAAGTCTATGCTGTTTGATTTAATTATTATGCACATTATTAATAATGATATCATTCACTATGCTTATCATATTATTATTATTATTTCATACACGTGGATATTATTGTATACAAATCAATAAAACTTATCAAATAAGTATTTGATGTTTTTCTAATGAAAAGAGGGAAGAATTAAGAGAGCCATGGCAATCAGCATTCCAATTAGGTTGTTTTGCAAGTTGATTTTCTGCTAGATACTTGTACTGACATTGAAGAAGGACGAATCACTTTGATTTGACAGAAACTGTACATCTTTCCCTCTAGATAACGAGTGGTTGCCTAGCAAGATACGCCCACTTCCCTGATAAATTTTCAGTATATCAAGGGCGGTCACCATTTTGTCAATTTGTTGATATCGTTGATTTAAACAAACACACAAAATTTCATAAAATTATGACATTCACTTTCACCTCTATGACATTTACAAGCCAACAAATTTTGATGCATTTATACTAAGTCATGGGCAATAACTCAAATTCTGTTTATGGAAAAATCGTCAAATTCAAACTTGACCAAGATCTCATTGTTATATAAGATGATCACAACAACTTTCATTTAAATCAGATAACAAATGTAGTCTCTATTGTGTTCACAACAAATTTCAATGCATTTTCCTAAGTCAAGGGCAATAACTTAAAAAGCGTTCATCGAAAAATCATCAAACTTGAACTTGACCAAGATCTATCAATACAAACGACCGCACCAAATTTCATTAAAATCAAATTAAAAACTGTACCTTCTATTGTATTGACAAGCCAATTGTGGACAGACGGACAGGGGCGACGACAATATACGACCAAAATGTGGGAGTATAAAATTTGAAAAGAAACTAATTTTTATTTTATACTGTGTGTTTTTTGCAATTTATTAGCCAAATAGATGCAAAAAGGAATGACTAAAAGCCCAAAGTTCATGTATATATCAATGCACAAATGATGTAGGCCCTTGTAAAGAAAACACATAAAAAACATAACACCTTGTAATTATATGCTATTTTTATTAGCACCAAATATAGTATTGTCTCTATAGAAATACAAATCATTGTGAATATTGAGATTCTGTTTTATAATGAGCTTGAAATCTACAAGAATATATCGTGGTTGACCACTTGAAACCTCAAATATGCAATATTTGGTCATTTTGGTACCGTTCGAAAGCTTGTAAAAGCTTAGATGTTGTGATCAAAACCTCTTTTTCTTAGCTCGATTGTAAATAACCCCAAAACCACCCAATACATAACACGTATATAAACCGTCAGATTGAAAACCTCATAAAATATTATATTACATGAGATTTAATGTTCTTTCTTTTGCGGATGAGAATGTAAAAACCTTGTATACTGTACTATTATACAAGTTATTGGTTGAATAGGTTGAAGTCCAAAAATTGTTATACATTTGTTTAAATTTTCAAAGAATGAAAACCACGTATATTGGAAAAAAAATAATAAAAAAGATTTTAACAAAATATGTGTGCAAATGGTTTTTTGTAGAAAGTAATTTTGCGTCATACATCGTTATACTAGGTTTCAATCCGTAACCCACGATATTCAATTTCAATACATTTTATTCTGAATACAATAATAATATATCTTTACTTTTCAATATTCAGATTCCATTTTAAAACTGCTTGAACCATGAACATTCTACTTCAGTACATTTCATCAATGATTAGGAAACCTATCTGCTTAAATATGGTTAAAAGGGAGGCTATTCAATTTAAATTTTTAATCTAACAAACAGCCTCCATGAAAATTACGCTAGCTTTCTGCAACATATCAAGATGATGAATGGCCATTTGTTTTTCCCGAAACAATACTGACACGTGATCACATTTTTTCTCATATAGAATTGTAAAATTATTGATACAACTTAAAATAGCTTTTTGACATTAATGTTTCTGCACAAAGGAAGAATGTTCACTTGAGCAGTTAGGTTCACAATGTTCAATTTGAGCTAAATATTTCTGAACTAGATTTTGACTAACTTGAATAAAAAGAACATGTGAAATTCAATCTGATAAAAAATTTGAAGCAAATACAAATTCATTGCAAGTTGTAAGAATATTTACAATCATAAATTTATTTATTTAAAAATATACAAATATAAAATATTAAACTACTTTGAAGTGTACTTCTATAAAATATACAATATTTATTATAATGAATTTACTTTCAAGAATTTATTCTTTCATAAAAAGAGATATTCGCTTGCCAGCTGATAAGGACTTCATTTCGCTCAAGTATCACTTTTCGGGGTTTAAATCAGACATACAGTTCTCCTACAAATAAACATGAACCTAATATGAAAATTCAGAATGTCAAACTTTCCTAGATGTACATTTTTATGTGCAAATGTTACCAATATTATGAGATCATTAATCATAACTGCCCATGAGAATTCTATAGTGGAATCTCATTTTTGAAAAGTGTTACAGATGGCTCTATCAGCTGGAAATGCAAATATTCTTAATATTACATGTATATCTAATTAACATGTAAAATTTAATTTGATTTATATCCGTAAACTTCACTTAAACTTTTGAGCTGCCAATATTGTTGCATAGTTTTGTTTTTTGTAAAGAAAATGGTTTGTGTTGATCATTGCACAGATGGTCCCTATATCAAAAAATTTGTAATGCTTTGAGAACAGAATTCATAGGAGATTATTTTATTCATGCTGTGAATTGCAATTAAAATATAAATTTTAGATAAAAAATGAAATATTGTGGACAAGAAAATTATTCTCAAGAGTTAAAATTCATTTTAACTTTAAACAATAAAATAAATGTTTTTGTGATAGTCAAAGCGTAACAAGTTTACAGAGCGTAGTATAAAACATTACATCAGAGATGTTTCATCTATATAATATTTTCAAAATCAAAAAAGCTGAATTTCAGCTATCTGTACCATTTTTCAGAATTTAGATCTGACATCTAGTTTGTTTGCAATAAATAAAAATAATTGTAGTTTGTAGGTTACTATTAAAATTCTAACCTGTAGATTTCACCATTCATGTCATATTTGCAAAGGAGAATGTAAACTTTGTTGTCATAAAACTCAAGATGAACTGGATGTCAAATCTTAATTTTAATAAGTGATACAGATAGCAGAAATTAGGCTCCACAAGTTAGCAAAACAAATTTGTAAGCAACTATGTCCTTTTAAAAGACATATATTCATGTATACATGATTTTGAGGAGAAAAAAAAACAAAAACAATTACCTCTCAACAACAAACTACAAATATATATACATTTCATTATAAAAATATTTACAAGTTAACAAAGCAACAAGGTACAAATAAAAAATACAAATTTGTTAATATATTTAAGTACATTATAACATAAGATAATGAAACCCTTAAATCATTTGTTTGAAAGAAACCGGTTCATTTTTCCATCTTTTTTTTTCATAGAAACTATCAAATTAGCTTTTTTTTCTTGAATTGTAAACAAAAATTTGAGATTTTTACAGACCAAAATAAAAGAAACCATTTGTTCGGTAAAAATACAGAACTAAGCTTATTATTTCTTTAATCATAAACCCATAAACCACTTTTGATCATATACATGCAGGTTGTTTTGTTTATTATTTTCAATTAGCAAGGCAGTCTGTATAACAACAAAACAAAAAACAAAAACTGAAAAAGCCACTTATGAAACCAAAGCTCAAAATCATATATAATTTGTGAAAATAGTCAAGCTAAACACCATACACCAATATATTATATCCATACATGTTATTGAGTGTTTTTGAGCTTAACTAAAATATCACTGTGGCAGGTATTGTTCATATCATCCATGCATGACATGTTAACACTTTGGAAACCCTGATGTAGCTCTGCTATAGAATTGTTGACTTGAATTCCATTTCATATAGTCCGCATATCAGTTTAAGATAAACAAGGCAAAGAATTAAGGCCTGTTATATGTTTTAATCTTGAAGGGCAAATATGAGGAGCACCGTAATATCCAAATTTTGATGTTGTATATTAGTCTATAATTGACCTTTATTGGTCACTGGTTTTAAAGATTTTCTAGCCACTGCTAAATGTAATGTATTCTGAAAAGAAAAATTTCAATTCAATGAATTCAACTATATTTAGCATCTCCAAGTTATAACAGAATCACTATTTGCAGACAAAAGTACATCTACTTCCATTTTGATAATCAAAAACATAATTTTTCATAACCAACAATGTCCAATTTTATCAAGACAACATCCCTAGCAAATTATAAAGTCAACAATCACAAATAAATAAAACATGTTTGGAGTTATTCCCCTTCGTGCAGCCATGGAAACTGACTTTACACTGCACAATAAAAATAATGCATACCTCATTGACTTTTGGTGCTTTCTTTTCCACTGGTTTCCATATTGGTTCAGGTTTTTTAGGTGTTGGTTCTTCAAATGTTCTGGGGGGTTTAGGTGGTGCCGAGGTGGGGGCAGGTTTTCTTTCATGTGAACTAGTACCGTTACTATTAGTACTTGGAGACCCTGCTCTGGATAAACGATGTTCTAAGATTTCTTCTGCAATACAAAATACATTTAATGTTTCCTATAACTAGAGGATGGCTTTCCAATCAAAAAATAAAATTGTAAAATCATTAATTTATCACGAGATAATGGAATGTTTTAAGGACAAGTAAACTGAAATCTCAAACACCCACTTACAATAAGCAAGCAACATCATGATAAAAACATGCAGATTTTTATTCAGTCAAGGGCAATAACTCAGACATCTGTGACATCATCAATAGGCCTAAAAAGCATACTTGGTACAAGCATCAAAACCAGGTGAAAACTTCCATCTTACTCACTACTGATTTTCCAAAATTTACATTTCTTCCATTTTCCATATTTTCATTTATTTTTCTTGGAAGCTTATTATAAACCAACAGTATACAGAATTGTTTCTTTAAGTCTCAATTATAAAGACTATATATGTCAAACACAAAGCAATTACTTACCATAAAGATGATTTTCTTTATTAGATAACTCTAAAAACTGTCCAGGCATCATGGGATCCCTAAAATATAACACATTCAATTTTAAACTTGAGTTCTACATTTATATAAATACTTTAGAATAAATTTGGCAAAATCACAGAATTAATTAAAAACATTCTTTAAGAATATATATAGATAATTTTAATAGATATTTTCAATGGCCACCTGCAGAAATTTACTTACCCAGCGTCTCTTATCTCTTTAAAAAATTTATCTAAAATTAAAAAATAAATTTTTGAAATCTTTACCCCATGTTCAAGGAATTGTATCAGAAAAGGAAATTGTAGATTCTATCTTCAGATATGATATGAAACAATAGATGTGTTGCTATAGAAACTTCAGTTTCTTTCCTGAAGTAGGCCTTCTAGGATGGATTTTCACTTAGGTCAAGTTGATTACACTAGGACATTTTCTGGTCAGTCAGTTTTTTAATTGACCTTAAAGAAACCATATTCAACTGTAGCACACATAAGATTAATCTATTGGTGTTTGGTACTTTTTCAAAAAGTGTGCTTAAAAATGAATAATTCATATTATATATAATCACTACCAGTGGCAATTAAGTAGAAAATCTGAAGTCTGCATCAATTTGACCTCATCAGCAAATTGAAAATCAAAGACAGAGAAGAATGAGATTACCTTTTTTCTTTTCTTGATATTTTCTTCTAATAAAGAATATAGCTATAATAACGGCTATAATTAGTACTACTAGAGCTATACTAATACCGGCCCACATACCAATATCAGCTGTAGACATCCCAGCATTTTCTACCGGGGTCTTCGTTAATTCTGAAACATAGCGTATAGTAATATTAAGTGTGCAAACAGAAGACACAGCAAACAGGAAACGTTACATAACAAATTTGAGCCAATATGAATGCATAACATATGAAAGCCTGACAAAGATGGGTCATAACAAAAAAGACCCATAACAAATCAAAACAATAACAAATATCAGTTTTGCAATTAGAAGACACAACAAACAGGAAACGTTACCTAACAAATTTGAGCCACAACAATAAGAATAAGAACAAATAACAAATGAAAGCTTGACAAATAGAGACATAACAAATTAAAACAATAACAAATACCAGTTTTACAATTAGAAGACACAACAAACAGGAAATGCTACATAACAAAAATGAGCCATAACAAATCAAAACAATAACAAATACATTAGATAACAAAAATGAGCAATAACAAACAGGAAACGTTACAGAATATCTGTATACCTGCCATCGAAATAGACATGACCAAGAATATGCAGAGGTACATACAGTTAATTTAAACAATAATATATCATAGAATAAATAGTACCTACCTATAGTAGTAACTGGTAAGGAGGGGGTAAAATCACTCATTCCATACTTATTTTTAGCACGAACTTGAAACATATATGCTGTTAGATCACGTAACCCTTTAATCTCTGCCTTTACAGTAGAGCCCTCTCCAGGGTCATGATAAGTTTGATTATAAAATGTCCAATTTCCATATAAATGTTTATACCACACACTAAATGTTTGTTTCTCACCACCATTGAAAGTTGAGGTCCATTGTAAAAGAATGGATAAGGCTTTAATTTCAGACACACGTAGATCTTGTGGTGTTGATGGACTTCCTGTTAAAAAAAAACAGTGAAATGGCAATCAAATATCAACTTTTGTTATCAAGAGACCTAGTATGTTTCTTCTGCACAATTATTTGAAGTATTTCTGACATTATCATCTTTTCAAATACAAGTAAAACAACTTCTTAACCTCAAAGAGTCTAATGACGTTGTCCTGCCAGGACTTGCCTCATTGCATACTGCATATCATTGTCCGTTTTCATTAGCTCAATTAGGTGCAGGAGAGTAGTAAGTAAAACTCCATTCATTTTGCTTTACTTAAAACAAGCACATAACAGAGATGATATGATCAAGTGCTCTTAACTTTGTTTTCTAGATCATTTCATCTAAAAGCATAACCTACCTTTGTCTTTGAAATGTACTGTGATGTTAACTCTATCTTCATCATTAGAGAGTTCCACATGATAAATTCCTAAATCATTTAATGTCTGAACATGTTTAGTTATTGTGAACACAGTTAAATAGTCTGAAGGTGTATAGTGTGTTATATTAAACACTGATATAGGTATAACACTACCGTTATGGTAAATAGTTGATATCACAGGGGCAGGGTATGCTATTACCCTCATATTAATATCTATAGTTTCACCTAACTCTGGAGCGAACTCGGTCTTAAAATATTCCCCATCTTCGATTCTAGGTTTACCTATCAAAAACAAAGTATATAGAAATAGATAGGTAAGTACATGATTAAATGTATGCCATAATATGCAACACAATATCACAATGTAGCATAGCATTTAAGCTGCAAATGACAAGACCTGTCTCCGAACAGAATTTCAATTTCTGTGGGCCCGTCTGCGTTCCTTCCTTGCACTGCTTTTTTGGTCCAATATATTTATATATAATGTAACTGAAAGGTTTGTGTTCAAGGAAATATTATATAAATTGTTTCCAATTCTTTAGAATACTTACAAGAAACTTTAAGATGAAAAGCTGAAGAAGAGATTTCACCATATTGGTTTGATATCCTCGCACTATAGTTAGCCATGTCTGTACATTGAGCTTGTATAATCTTATATACACTATTATACATATATTTATTGATATTGGTCACCTGGCGTACCACTGGTCCAGATAACATCATAGTTGTATCATTGTCTGGTAGTATCTTCCCACTTTTAATCCAGGTGATATCTGGTTCAGGATTACTGTCTATCTCTAAAGTGATATTAACATTAGAAAGTTCCTTAATTCTTAACTCCTTAAATTTCATATCTTTCAATTTTTCTGACACAAGGATTGGTTTATCTGCAAAAAAAATGACACAAAATTATTTAAAAATTTAAAACTATAACAAGCATTTTGTCATAATTATTAGTTATTTATAAATAGTAATGATATGATAGGTCTGTTGGCCTGATAAACATACTCTGTGATCGTAGTTTTAGGTATTGCCTGAAAGTCTTGTCTGTATTCATAACATAAAACCATCTGATAATGAATATGCAGACATATCAATATTACAAAGTCAAAAGTCATGGCAATAACTACACATCATAAGAATGTCAATTTGCAGCCAGCGCATGTTGACTTTCCCCAATATGCTTTAATCGCAATGGAATCAGGTGTCAGAGTTAAATTCTAAAAGTGACAGTTGAAAACTGCTTGATAATAATAGGAAATATCCATTTGATGAATAATAACACATTGAGCAATATTTAGAGATTAGGGTGGACAAGCAACTAGCCACTATTCAGAGCAAATCTGAAATGACTGGGAACTGGAAGAAGAACGGTCCACCTGTGCTTTCGTGCAGGTATCCAATATTAACATTATGAAGTCATTGGCAATTACTGTGCATTAGAATATGAATTAGAGGTCAATTCATTTTTACATATTTGTTCACTTTCCAACTATGCTGTAATCGCAATAGAATCAGGTTTCAGATTTGTATTCTGAAAAGAGATAGTTCTCTGACAGTTCGAAACATGAGCTCTACATGCTTTGAGAGTTATATTTTCCCTTTAATATCAGTGTTTATTTGAAAGCCAACAAAATTATGACTCACACATGCACTGCCCAAGGCCTGTAAAAATCGGTAATTGTGTAGTTAAATATCAACTTACAATGAATGTGAATTGTCAAATCTTCATCAGAAGAACCATATTCATTTTCAGCGTGACAGGTATATTCCCCATCATTAAGTCGTGTTAAATTAGGAAACTTCAGTTCATTGTTATTTTCTAATAAGCTCTCACTTTTCTTCCAAGACACAGTACAGTCTGGTTTACATTCTACTGAACATGTCACTGTTAAACTGTTACCAATTTTTTCTGTTATAACTGATGATGGTTTGATCCTTATAACTTCTGGTTCAACTAAAATAAAAAAGATATTAGTTTTTTAAAAGGACATGTCTGCCATCTGTTTGACCAATGGTAGCCTTATCTTATTTTTTAGCTAAGTTTATCAGTAATAGTTTTCACAGCTCACCGTCAAAATATGAGCCTGTTGTGACCAGAATTATCTTTGTTATAAGGTTAAAAATATGAATTGTCTTTTCTTGACACTCTGTCATATATAGCAATAGAAAGTGAAATTTCTAGCTTGAGGTTTTTTACAGGAATTATGTGATTTTCATACATTTCTAGTACTTCTGAAAACTATTTACATATATTCAAGACCCAAATCACTCCCCCCCCCCCCAAAAAAAAAGGTTTAAATATAATTACAGAAAGGAATTGAAATGAAATAGTGTTTTACATCCTTATCAGATGATGCTTATTTGATTGAAGGACATGAGCAAAACTATATAGTGGTGTAATAAGAGAAATAGCTTTTCATTTTTCAATTCCCATCAATACAACTAACGACATACGTCAATACCTAGTCTGGTCATGATTTGGAAAAATTACCCAAAACTAATACTTTTCAGTAAAAATTGTCCAAAATCTGATGAACGAGGATCATCAGAGGATATCTTTTTTAGCTCCACTCATACATGACTGGCAAAAAAATAAAATAAAAAGCTTTAAAATGGACTTTTTTATTTGAAAATGTTTTAGTTTCTTTGATTAATTTAAGCATATTCCTGACAAATACAGAAACTATGGACCATGAGCACTTTTCTGACATGAAAGGATAAGAGGTCATTATTTCCACCAATATTATTGAGAATATTCAAGGATGAAAGACATGATATTGTGCCAAAATTCTGACATTATTGACTTCGTTCCTGAATAGTGTCACAGGAGTCAAGACCTATTTAAATATTATGGGTCGAATGAGGAAGAGACAGAAACCTTATTGGAATAACAAATCAAACAGAAACTTTTGTTTCCTAAAAACTTAATCATAGGTTTAGTTACCTAATTAAAATAATTTTAATATTTCTTTATTGCACTACAATTGCATTGAACACTATTTTAACAGTAATATTTCTATATTGATGTAGTATTGAGCACTATTTTAACAGTAATATTTCTATATTGCTCTAGTATTGAGCACTATTTTAACAGTAATATTTCTATATTGCTCTAGTATTGAGCACTATTTTAACAGTAATATTTCTATATTGCTCTAGTATTGAGCACTATTTTAACAGTAATATTTCTATATTGCTCTAGTATTGAGCACTATTTTAACAGTAATATTTCTATATTGCTCTAGTATTGAGCACTATTTTAACAGTAATATTTCTATATTGCTCTAGTATTGAGCACTATTTTAACAGTAATATTTCTATATTGATGTAGTATTGAGCACTATTTTAACAGTAATATTTCTATATTGCTCTAGTATTGAACACTATTTTAACAGTAATATTTCTATATTGCTCTAGTATTGAGCACTATTTTAACAGTAATATTTCTATATTGCTCTAGTATTGAGCACTATTTTAACAGTAATATTTCTATATTGCTCTAGTATTGAGCACTATTTTAACAGTAATATTTCTATATTGCTCTAGTATTGAGCACTATTTTAACAGTAATATTTCTATATTGCTCTAGTATTGAACACTATTTTAACAGTAATATTTCTATATTGATGTAGTATTGAGCACTATTTTAACAGTAATATTTCTATATTGCTCTAGTATTGAACACTATTTTAACAGTAATATTTCTATATTGCTCTAGTATTGAACACTATTTTAACAGTAATATTTCTATATTGATCTAGTATTGAGCACTATTTTAACAGTAATATTTCTATATTGCTCTAGTATTGAGCACTATTTTAACAGTAATATTTCTATATTGCTCTAGTATTGAGCACTATTTTAACAGTAATATTTCTATATTGCTCTAGTATTGAGCACTATTTTAACAGTAATATTTCTATATTGCTCTAGTATTGAGCACTATTTTAACAGTAATATTTCTATATTGCTCTAGTATTGAACACTATTTTAACAGTAATATTTCTATATTGCTCTAGTATTGAGCACTATTTTAACAGTAATATTTCTATATTGCTCTAGTATTGAGCACTATTTTAAAGTGAAAATATTTCTATATTGCTCTAGTATTGAGCACTATTTTAACAGTAATATTTCTATATTGCTCTAGTATTGAGCACTATTTTAACAGTAATATTTCTATATTGCTCTAGTATTGAGCACTATTTTAACAGTAATATTTCTATATTGCTCTAGTATTGAACACTATTTTAACAGTAATATTTCTATATTGCTCTAGTATTGAGCACTATTTTAACAGTAATATTTCTATATTGCTCTAGTATTGAGCACTATTTTAAAGTGAAAATATTTTATTATTGTATTAATTAAGATAACAATTTCAATATTTTTTGATGATAATTTGCCATTGTTATCTAACAAGTTTTCAACTGAATTCCTAATGACACTATTTTTAACTGATCAAAGCATGTCATGTAGATGTAGGACCAGTTTTCTTGACAACAAGGAGGAATTGTGAGTAGCGAAATCCAAAGTAGAGCAATATAACAGCCTGTTTTTGTTTCGTTAATGCACACTTTGTCATTGTTATCAAGAAAAGGGTTCTTCATGACATAATTTAATTGGTTAAAACTATCATCATTCGAACGGGACTGTAGTAGAAAACTTGTTAGATTACATTAGGGATGAAATATATCAAAAAACAAAACAAAATAACAAAAAAAAGAAACGAAATTGTAATCTTATTTTAGATTGAATCCCAGATCCAGTGAGATTAGTTGGTTAAAAAATAACACCTATAAAAGTTTATGAATTATCTATGCCTAGTATATTGAATTTGAAAATGTCTTTGTTGTACATATTGATATAGATATAACTCTATGACTCAATATCATTCAGTCAAAATAAAATGACTAAGTCCTATGTATATATAATATATATAAACTAGGACAATAAGTAATAGAAATTGTAGGTGTATTAAGCCATGCATGTTAATATATCAGCTGGAAGGCAATATCTTTTAAAGAAATCTGTCAGCTTGACCCTTCAATTTTCTTTATAGATATTACCACCATGGTATTTTGTTATTTTGCCAGATGTATATTTATTTCTTCTCTTTTTACCAAAATTAAATCCGATTTCTCTTCCCATGTGGCATATGGCTGGTGTCTTTCACACCTCTTTCCCCCAATCTTACCCTATCTACTAATCAGAAGCGAAAGGATCATAAAGGGTCATCTAAATATTAGCCTTGTCAGATAATATATTTTCATTTCAGCAATCTAATTCCCTTTTTATGATTAAAATCTGACATTGGATTTTGTTACAATTAAACACAGTCATTCAGATGGGACAATTACTTGAGGTCCCATGTGCTACAAGCTGTGTGCATTAAAGATCCTTCAACAGTTGGAAATCGAAAGAGAGTAGGTCCTGGCAAAATTTCCCTTAGGCCTGTAGCACAATGCATGACCTTGCTGGCTTCATTAGTCCAATTAGGTGCAAAAAAGTAGGACTTAAAATTCTTTTCATTTAATTTCTAATAATTAAACAGAAACATATCATTGCAGTTTAGACTACTAGTGATACTAGGTAGCTATAAATTGATCTGGCAAAGAAGGATCTTATATTTAAATGCTTTTATACCCTTAACCGTTCAAAATATTTTTAAATTTTACATTCGCTTCTTGAATGAGATAAAAAAAAAAAAACAAGGAGGAAAATGTGTCATCAAAATAAAATTTTGTTTAACAAAAAATTAATTTGAAGTACTTACTTTACAATGATCTGAAGTGGCTGATTCATTGTTGTCAAAAAGTAGGTCAAATTTTAAAATTATCAAAAGTTTTATACTGTAATTAGGGTTGAGAATAAACATGACTAATAATTTAAATGATACAATAATTGAATGGAATAAAAAAAACTCCTTTTAAAATTAGTAAGCATGTAAAAACTTGAACAAAGAATAGATTGAAGAAATTGAAACTGTTTACTTATACTTTTTTGTATAAAGATATAAAGGAAAGTTGAAGGTCTAGTCTACATATAGGTGGAAATAATGCCCTTTATATAATATGGTTTCAGTGATACAGGTCTGAGGGGCTGACATGGAAAAAAGCGTGAATTGGACAATAAACTGAGACCATGTGCCTTAAATATATTTTGACAGTTGGAAATCGAAAAAATAGTGGGGTCATGCCACCATCCCAGCAAAATGTATCTCACTGCACACTGCATGGCATTGTGTCAATAAAATCAAAACAATTTTCAAACATAGGCTGGCGGCAAGTCTCACAAGCGAATACACCCACCAGCAGGTTGATAAAGAGCTAAATGTGAACTGTAAAACAATCTCTATATCGTAGCCTGTAGAGTGAGCACGAGCTAAAAAGTTAAAAAATGCGATATCAGAGTTTTATGCGATATCTCTAAATAAAATCATCGGATCATCACCAAATTCAATATTGCACATTTTCATAATGATATTGACACACATACAAAAGATCAAAAGATCAAAAGAATCAATAGAGAATTGTAGTCTGTAGAGTGAGCACTAGTCAAAAAAAAAACAACAAAAAACAAACGTGATATCAGAGTTTATCAGAGTTTTATGAGATATCTCTCAAGAAATCATCGGATCATCACCAAACTCAATAAAGCACATCTTCATAATGATATTGACACACATACAAAAGATCAAAAGATTCAATAGAGAATTGTAGCCTGTAGAGTGAGCACAAGGTAAATATGAACGGACGGACCGACAGGGGCAACCACAATATAAGCCCATACTTAAGTGTGGGCATATAGAAAGTAGGATGTAAAACTCCATTTCAATTATATAAGGGTAATGTTTTTTAAATGGGACATTTCCTATTGAATATGTGAAACACATTGCTAAAAGTAAATAATTTTGTACATTTTTTAAGAATATCTTAAGCCCCATCTTCTTCATATAATTTGATCATATATTTATAGAACAATAGAGAGTTTCTGATACTGAAGTTGCTTGACATAAAAAAACAAGATAATCAATCAATTTGAAATTCTTAAACCAGATAAAAAAAATCAACCCAACGCCAAAGGAATTTAAAATTCCTAAATATCTAAATCAATGTGTCTTACAGGAGGATTTTCAACAAATTTCATGTTTAGCAAATATCAATTGTTATAAAAACTGTCTTTAACAATGTTAATAACATAGTTAGTAGACATAGTTAAGATTGTTATGTTCACAGGAAACATTGCCAAATATAATCAATATAGTGTAAACAGGTATGAGGGCAAACTATCTCATGAAGATAGGATATAGCCATCTTTTTGAATATGGTGATCTTAAAACATTTTGATATGCCCTCTTAACCCTTTCAAACCTAGCGGTAGGTTTACCGCCTACTCACTAAGGCAATAAATCCCCTGGCTTTTACCCGTATTACTTGGAGTTCAGGGTATATGACGTTATATTTCATTCACACTCAGGGTTCAAAGGGTTAAGTGTAGAATATGTAATAATTGACATACATCAAGTAAATATATTCTGTTCAAATCAAAAACCCAAGCCTTTTGATTTTGAGTGAATATACCCATCTATACCCATGTCAGATGTCAACTAATTCTTGCGGCAGCAGGCTAGTATCCTAATCAACGTTGGGGCTCATAAGATGAAAAAGCCATGCAGTGTGCATTAGGGTAAATTTTTTCAGGATAGGAGCTATAGCCTACAGCTTTTCATTCAACTACATTACATGAACAGCCATGTGTTCAGTGATAAAAATATACTTACAATCAGGATCCAAAATAAGTGGTTCACTGCTGTCAGATTTTAAATTGTTGTATTCATACGCCTGACATGTTAGCCTGTCGCCTTTCATTTCTCTTGTAACCAAAAATTGAACAGAAGAGTTTGAGCCTTCTGAAATGATGCGGCCATTTTTGTTCCAAATATACTGCATAGGTAAGCCATGATTTAAAGGAAGGGTGGTAGAGTTTGTTGAGCAATTGAATTCAACTGTTGAATATGCAACTATAGGTATCAGGTTTTCCACTGCAGGTTTTGAAGGTTTATCTAAGAAATAAAAAAGAGAGGAATAATATATGAGTGTCATTTTTTCCTTCATTTGATTCTAATTTTATAAACTTGAATTCTCATGTGTGTAGAAATTTGCCAGCTGCAAAAATACACGTATTCAAGTAGACATGAAAGCCAACAAATATTTTTCTTTTCAGTTTCAAGGAGGCTCTATTTCTAATTTTAAACAATATACAATGCCTAGAGATTAGAATTTTGACAGCAAAACTTATCTTAAACAAACTGTACCACTTTGTCAAATAATCTACTTGGAATAGTATAATAAGGACTTCGAATTCTTACGTAACACAAAAAGTAAATGCTGACTGATATCAGGTGTTCAAGAAATGAAATAGTTTACATCCCATTTATCTGCACCGGGTTGGGCTAATGAGGTTGGCATTGTCATGCAGTGTAGGAGATTTGCCAGGAAAGCACAGCCTGTAGAACACAGCCTGTAGAACACAGGCTCAAGGTTTATTGTCCTCTCTCAACCAAAAGAAATGGATTGAACCCCGGATAGCAACCATCTTACTCAGTCCAATGTATTCTGGAATTGGAAGTGGATTTCCTGTTCACCCATTGACCTTCATCTGATTTACATAACATTTCATAGTTCACAATAGGGCAAGACAAGTAACTGAAAATAAAAAAAATCTTCCTACCTGCTACAATGAGTATTTGTGAACATTTATGAATATTACAGTTGTAGATACCAGGATCACTTTTAGTCACAAGGAATTGAAATGTAATAGTATCAGCAGTATGTCTTACTCCACTTATTTGATCTTTATATACAGATAAACTGGGTTGGGTGACACTTTTGATGACACCCTTGGTGATCTGTACCAAAAAAAGAACATTTTCTGATGGATGGTAAACATTCTCTATGGAACTGGATGATTCTATGATTCCAGGAATGGTTATTTGAAATTTGACTTTCTCTCCAATTCTTGCTTGGATACATTCTACTTCTGAAATAAAATTTAAATAAGATTAAGTGGTAGGATTCTCTGTATTAAAATAGGAATAGACGAGGTAAGGTGTATGGTGCGGTATTCACTTCTTCTATTTTCAACAGCATCATCAATCCTGCTCAGTTCTACCGTACATAGGCTATTCATGGCTTGACACAGTAATGCAACTGTGTCTGGAAAAGGTCAAGGGAAATCTAATTTTATTTTCTCAATCTCAATTTTTAAAAGGCACATCAATGTTGGAGTATTTATCAACAAGCAATATTTTTAAAGAATGGCTCAGTCAACCTAGCAATTAGCAGATTCTGATAGCAACAGAATTTTCAATGAGTTTGCTACATGTGGTCTCTCTGGGTTTGGTTGACCTAAGCGTGCAGATAGAAGAAAAATGTTAGAATTGTTAGAATCTGCAACTATCTAGTTGCTATTGGTCAATTTTTTGACAAGTGCTTTTCGTCAATGTTGAGTGCCACAGATCAGACTAGATGCTTTGACCCGAACACCTGAGCTACCTATTTTTCTGGTTTGGTGAGATGCTCATAATCAAAGTTTGTTTAAAATTTTATTGACTAACAATATCAATGATAGAGTACCGTTAAAGGTCACCATAAGAAAAAGTAAGCTAAGGTATTTGTTAAACATGAGAAATAAAACCTAGGTTGGTCGTCTTGACAACTAGTAGACTACTACCTTATTATTAAACCTCATCGTGGCACTGAGGATATGTCAATATTCAGTTTTGAATAGGGATAAATACTTTTCTAACATGGGCTTGTTTCTCAAACATGACAAATTAAAGAGTGTGTGCCAGGGACATAAAAAAAATAGACAGTGACTTGAATCTTTCTCCCAGTTGTCAAAAATATATGTGGTTTTTTGTGAAAATTATGAAGTCACTTTCGGTATTTTGTCAGTAGAAAGAGTAAGATTATATGGATTTAATTTGGTTACAAATGTTGTGTTGTGTTGTGTTGGATTGTTTCAAAAGCAACAATATTGACTGACCCTACTACAACCTTGGCCTGTGCTTCTATAGGAGTATCTTCTATAATCAAAAATGGATGATAAGAAAGCATTTACATTTAAGTTGAAAATTCAATAAAATT